AATCAGGAAAACATAAAATAATTCTGTCTTACTCCCTTCTCCATGTTAATATTAGTGCCTTCCCTCTAAAATTTTCCCATTTTATCCTGTCTATATTTTGTCTGTACATTGTTGTTTGAATATTCTTGCCCATATTAGACTGGGATCTTTGAAAGCAGCAACCAGTTTTTGGTTTGTTGAAGTTTGGGGTTTTTGTTTGTTTGTTTGTTTTTTGCCTTTCTTTGTATCCCCAGTGCTTAGCATAGTACCTGGAACATAGTAGGTGCTCAATAAATGCTTATTGACTGGACTACTGTATATGATACTGATTTAGATATAGGTTTCACTCCTAGAATTATGGGGAAATAACAAGTACATACTGAGGAAAAAAATAATCAGACTATAATTTACCCGTTTTATACAAGTCAGATTTTGTGGAGAAACTATGACTGACATGAAGACCAGTGATTTAATTATTAGCTGTACTTATCCTTCACTGCATTTCTTTTTGGCTGTCTCATCATGTAGAGATGATCTTGTGCTCTTGAAGTTTATTACAGAGAAATACAGTCTGTGCAGGTTCTACAAAGTAGGGGAAAAGTCTATGACTTTTTTGAGTTAGGCTGTATGTCTGTATTCCTAGACCCTGTCTAGGGAACTGTAGAGAGAGACTATATTAAATTGGCTGATAACAATCCCTTGAAGCTTCTAATTTCGGGTACCATGGATCACTTGGAGATTTATCTGTAAAGCTGTCTTCTGAAAGTATCAAAAATGCCTGGTTGTATTATTATCTCACCTGTACCTGGTCCTACAGCAGGACCCTGATGATAATATCATATCCAGGGGAGGAAGGATGGAGCAGATTCAGTTAGGACAGAAATTCACGGAGCTGACGGATACACATGTATTAAAGCCTCCAGAAGTAGGATTCACTTGGGGGGAAAAAAAGCAGAAAATAGAGAGTAGGTTGCTTTATAGCAGTCTCTGTTTTCATTCTTTCTAGATGATGATGTAAGGCTAAGATTCCTTTGAATAAAAAAAATAGTTGTTCACCACATAAATGATTTTAGAGCTCATTTTGATTGATAACAGAAATACTTCATTGACTGAAAAGGACTATTGTTCCCAACATGAAGCTCTAAATACTTTTGAAAATGTCTTTTCAATTGGATACAGAGGAGAAATGAATGTTAGTCATTTGGTATCATGTGAGATAGGTTGGGATTTTTTTTTGGAGGGGGAAGGTTTTGATTCATGGAGCTTTTTTGGCTTTTGCATTTTCAAATCGGAGGTAAAATTTAAGAGTTTATTTTGAGGAATAAGATATATCTATAAACAACAACTTTAATAACAAAATATAAGAAATACTCATAGAATCATAGGATTTTGGTGTTAGAAGGCACCTTTTGCATGATCTTGTATTTTCCTCCCTTGTTTAAGTTATAAAACTGAGACCAGAGATGTCAACATTCAACAAACATTTTTATTAAATGCCTCTTACTAGGCAGTGACTGTGCTTGGCTCTTGATATACAGAATGACTAAATTAACTAGTGACATAGTAGTCTATATAATTGTCAATGTTTAGCTGGAAAGAAAAAAGATTCAGGGGACGAGATTGCTGCAGTTATCTATTTGAAGAGTTGTCACAAGAATATAGGATTAGACTTTTTCTATTTGGCCCTCGGGGGTAGAATTAAAAACAGATAGGAGTTAAAGAGGCAAATTTAAGGCTTCACATAAAGGAAAACTTTCTAACATTTAGAGTTGCTCAGAAAGTGGAATGATCTGCTTTGAGAGGTGCAGGTGATAGATTTCTTCTCCTTAGAGATTTTCAGTGTCTAAATGTCTACTTTTCAGGTATATTAGAGTGGGGGTTCTTTTCATTTATGGCTTAGACTAGATAGACTTTTTCAATTCTAAAAATTCTGTAATTCTATGACTTCTAGTTTCAAGTAGTTGAGTATGTAGTTGCTTGAAATATTATGGCTCTGACAACTTCACATTGAATTTCCTAGAAATGAAAATTACTTCTGCAGATGGCAAGAAAAGTGTAATAGCAGTATTTTTTGTTTGTTTTTCATTATCTTTGAATATTTGATCATATTTAAAATATTTTAAAAGCAAGTGCTAAATATTTCTAATCAGAACTTTTTTTTTTCTATCTAGGTTTGGGGGAGAGAACTTTCACTTTTAGAAACCCTTCATCATAATTTAAAAAAATGATGAGAGGTGAAAATAAGATAGGGACCAAAATGTGACATATAATTGATGTAATTAGCACATATTTTTTTAGGTAACATACTTTCCAGCCTTGTGTTACACGGTTACCTTAGTAATTTAGGGAAAAGTCCAGCCTTCATACAGTGTCACAATTAATAATAATAAGCATGTCAAGACCTTTTGAACATTCCTATCCTGTAATTGAACAATATTAATTCTTTACCTGCTAATTTTGAGTCCTCTTTGAGCTCGATGCTCAAGTCAGTGGACGTTCTACTGAGATATGACCGCCTTCTCACTTGATTTCATATTAAAGATTACGTGTAATATGTAAGGTCAGAACCTAGATTTAGAGTGGAGAGAAACTTTAAAGATCTAATTCAACCTTCTTCATTTAAAGATGAGCAAACTAAATCCCAGACAAGTTAATTGACTTGCTCAAGGTCACAGAGACATTCTATGGATGAACAAGGTCACACAGTTAATAAGTAGAAGAGGAAAAACTCAAGTTCCCTGAAAGAGGTCCAATATTCTTTCTACCACATATGTTTGGAAATTTGACTGAAGAGTCAAAAATCTCAGTGTTCAAATAAACTTGCAAAAAAGTAACTGGTTATGATTGGTTATTGCCTATACTGGCTTCAGAACAGCCCATGGTAATAACAGCCAATGCTGATCTCAGTTACTTTGGCCATCACTTTGGCAGATCACCTGTGCCTGATAGTAACTCATGATATTCCCTGGATTTTAAAATCTGACTGCATGTTTTAAGGGCTTCCCAGTTAAATCTGCATAACTCCTTGTCCTCGCCTTCAAGCCCTCTAGAATTGAGTTATCTAGAATTTTCTATTAAGTCTCTTGTTTACACAAAGGGATAAGATAGGCCTAAGTTTTTTAGCTTTCTTCTCTCACTTTTGACTCTGCCTACTGCACATATGGTTTTGGAACAGAAATCCTACTTAGATAATGTGATTGGAAAGTCATTGTCTTGACAGTATTTGTAGCTGATTATATTTCTTTCATATAATGATTGAAAGCTTCTTTCATATGAACCCAAGCCTTGGGAAAAAAAATCACTTAAAGCTGAGAGGGAAATGGGGCAGTGAGTTTATTAAATATTTGATTTGAAAAGTAAATTACTGAAATAGGGATATACATATACATAAACATAAATGTATTAAGTTATATTTTAAAATTTTAAACTCTAAAGCCAATAGTTATTTCTATTTTGATTCTTTGTACCTTTCTACATTTCTTTTCATCATCTTGAAGTTCCCCTTTTAAGAATGACTCCAACATCTTAATTTCTTTGGGAAACCTCCTTATTTTGCCTTGTTGGATTGCCCAAAGTTAAGGAATTGGTAGTAATACTTTGCAGATACTTGTTAATGCTGGGGTCATGGGCAAGTCAGTGTGTCTCCCTGAAAGACTCCATTTCCTCATCAATAATTGGAATATTAGTATTTCCATCACCTACCTTCAGATAGTTTTCAGGTTCTGCTGAGATAATGTATAGGAAGTATTGCATAGGTGTGGTCTTTATTACTGTGTCAATAAATGCCTACATATATGTATGTGTTCTATATATAGTGTATTTATATGTAAATACATACATACATACATATACATTATTACACATATATGCACACATAAATACACATACACACGTGTGTGGAGGAGTAAGCTATATACTGAGAGGTCCTCCCCACCCCACCCCCCCCAAAAATTTAGCTTAAAGCTGCATTAAGATTTTTAGGATACCCTGCTGAATCTATCATCCTAAGGTTTTAGCACTCTCTCCTCTCCTTCTCTCTCTCTCTTTCTCTCTCTCTCTCACATCTCTCATCTCTCATCTCTTTGTCTTTCTCTCCTTACCCATGATCTCACAGCTAATAAATGGCAGAGATTGAACTTGAACCCAGGTATTCTGACTCTTAAATCCAATGTTTTTGTTACTGCATCATTACCATGGAAATAGAGCTGGATTTGGAGTCAAAGGGCTTGTGTTCAAATTCTGGCTCTCCCTGTATGATATTGAGCCACCCATTTTAATCTCTGAGTATTGATTGTAAAATGATTGGTTTGGATTAGATGATATCTAAAGGGCTTTCTAGCTTTATATTTGCAAACCTATAATCTGTATTTTTGATCAATTAATTAAGAGAAAATATAGCCAATAATTTTTGCTTTATAAATCCAGCTCTGAACAAGTAAGGGATAGGGTTGGGGACTATACCTGTGATTTCGTTGCTATAGGAAATTCCCAGATGAGGAAACTCCCTCTACCAATTCAGATTAGTACCTTTTCTGCAATTTATACTCTTAGATAGTTGCCTGGAGTACTGAGAGGTTAAGTCACATAACCATCTGGTCTTCAGAGGCAGGGCTCCAAATGAGCATGGACAATAAAATTGTGGAATTGAGCGTGGCCCACATTACTCTCCTCTCACAAATGCCGTTTAATAATAATAATAATAATAATAATAATAATAATAATAATTAACTCATTAAAACTAAACCCTAACATTGAAACATCCTGTTGTAACATCATTGCAGTCAAAACATGGCCTCCATTGAGTGAATTGCTCCCTGTATTTATTGGTTTTCTCTTATATTAGGTTTTTGCAGAATTAATACAATATTATATGGGGACCTTCTGGTATATCATAATAACTGATAAATCAACATTCACACAGGAAGGAAAGATAATTTTTCAAAGGTCCAGTTAATCATGTGTGGGTTTTGTGGGGTTAAGTGGTTGTCTTGTTCTAAATGAATATCATTCCGTCCTTTCAGGCCACAGAAAGTGAGGCTGGTGATATGGACTTGAGTGGGCTGCCAGAAACTGCAGTGGATTCAGAAGATGATGATGATGAAGAGGACATCGAGAGGGCCTCAGATCCTTTGATGAGCAGGGATATTGTTAGAGATTGTTTGGAGAAAGACCCCATTGACAGGACGGATGATGATATTGGTAAGTTGGCATGAGGAAAGGAGTCAGAGAAGAGTTTAAATTATTTAACCATTGCCCAATTTTCAGACCTCCTAATGGCAGTCATGAAGGGGAAAGTTACCCAAAATTATTGAATTAGGGTTACTTTTATTACCTGTTTTAAGTTTCTGATATACAGCCTTCAGTATTTCACTGAAAACAAATCCAGTGTAATCTGTCTGTCTTCCGTTTTCTGTCTCTGCTGTGTCTATCTGTCTGTCACACACACATATCCATCCATCAATAGCTGGTATTTACGTAGTGTTCAGTGTTTTACAAAGTGCTTCCATTAGGAAAAAGAAATACTCTGTGGTATAAGAATTATTATCCCTCCTTTGAGAAGTCAGGATATTCTTTGGCTCAGAATGGTCAAATGATTTGCTCAAGGTCTTAGCATTGGTAAATAGAGGAGCGAGGCCCCAGAGACACAAGAATCCTGAATCCTAACCACAATCAGAGAAGGTTCCCTGTGCAGTTTCTTCACCACTCTTTGGGGGTTCTTGCTCTCAAGTCACAGAGGCCCAGGGAATACATGCCCAAGGTCACCCAGGCAGTAAACATCCCAGCAGGATTTGAATTCAGGTTTTCTGACTCCCAAGCTCATTCCACTGAACCAGATTGTTCTTCTGAAGTAAAAGTGGTAGGTCTGCTGTTCTACCTCATAGGGTAGTTGTGAGCAAAGTGCTATGTAAACTTCAAAATTACATGTAAGTGTGAGTTGGTAGATAATAATAGGTGACACATTCGATCCTTTTTTGGGTGATCTGTGGACAAGAGCCAATTTTCTAGTATCAGATCACAAGCTTGAAATTCTCCAGAATGCTAAATAGCTTAAAAACTATATGTAGTTTCTAGGGCCCGCATCTTTCCCTATAACTAGGAAAACACATAGACTATCTTGGAAAATGATAAAGGGGGGGGCGGGGAGTTTGATAAATGATGTCCTTTCTAACTTGAACAAAAAAAAGTTATAAGCCAATGATGTTATAGGAGGAAAAGAAGCATATACCTATGAACAGTCTAGTGTCATGATGAAGAATGGTAAAATTAATCTGACAAATAATTTACTGACCTTGGGCATGTATTCCCTGAGCCTCAGTTTTCTCAACTGTAAAATAGCAGGAGGAAAGTTGACTAGATTGTCCACTGATGTCTCTAGAAGCTCTCCATGCGTGATCCCAAATTCAGAATTCTTCCTCCTACACTATGCTACTTATTTATTTTTCACTTTAATTTCCTTACATCATTATCCATGGTGAATTAAAGCCCCATAGAAGGCGAGACTAAATAATTTGCCAATATAAACTTACATGTGTAAATATCATTTAAATGATCATCATTTAGCGTAAAACTAAAACATAATAGAACCACAAGAGATTTGGAAATGTTTTGTAGTCCATTTTTCCACAAATAAAACCCAGTTAAGAACTTTTTTAATCCTTCACCTGGTGATGTGAGTTTGACCGTTCAGCCTTTCTCTAATCATTTGTGTCTTCTTTGATATGAAATGTGGCTACATTGAGACTAGTCATTGATTCGTTCCTTTTGAACTACTTCTTCCTTTGTCTTCTCAACCTGGAAAGGTTTGAAATAGAACCTGGTAGAACTGTATTCCTGTCTAACGAGAACTACCCTACTTAATTCTGAGGAGTATCATTAGCAGGTTGGCTTAAGGAGGATGAGTTTTGGAGCGCAGCAACTCTCAAGAACAGAGCTAAAGGGTTACAATCTGCATTTCTAGAAGTAGTATCAACGTCAGCAAAATCACAGAGCTTTGAAATATGTTGCCATCCTCTAAGAAATATAGGATCAATCAGATTTAGAGCTGGAAGAGACCTCAGAGGACATTGAGTCCAACCCTTTCACTTTACAGATGACAAAACTGAGGCTGAGAGAAGCTAACTGACTTGCCGGGGTCATATAGCGTATATATATCTGAAGCAGGAGTTGAGCCAAGTCTTCCTGTCTCCAGGCCCAGTAGTCTGTCCACTGTGCCACTTCGCAGCCCGTATTAAAATGGGCGATCTGTAAGGAGTGGTACTTAGTCTGTGTTGGCTACAGTATAGAGTATATGGGGGAAGAGGGGGGGTAGAGCAGGATAAATACAGGCTATTTTAGAAAACAATTTTAGAGTAGGAATCTTCTAAATATTTTGAATTTTTGATATTAATTTAAATGAATATTCATTCATTTAACTTTTTAATCCTTCATTCCTTGTTTCCTGATCCCATCATTGTAAACTTTTTTTTTTTTTAAAGCATGGTATATCAAAATCCTGCCAATTCTTCTTTCTTTAGTAATCTCCCTGCTACTTGTCTGTCATACTTGGTGTTCTTCTTTATCCAGGATAATTTAGTTGCTACAAAAGAAGCTTGAATATTATAATTAGGTTGAATGAATACTAAGAACTCACATTTACATAGGTTTATAGTTCTAAATCCTTTAATTTGATCCTAACTGTAACTCTTTGAAGTGGGTAGTAAGTAAGCCCCATTTTACCAATGAGACTGAAACTTAGGAACGTTGAGAGATTTATTTGGAATCACTCCCCTAATGCCTTAGCAAAGTATTCTACACTTAGTGGGTGTTTAATAAATAACTCCATGTGAAAGGTTCAATAGAATCGAACAGAGTAGAAGGAAACAAGTTGGACATTCCATCTAAGGAATAAGACTTTTGAAAGACATCTTGAAAAGTCAATGTTTTTCCATTTCAAGACCAGGTAGAACTACACCTAAATGATATGAGGGACAAGATATTGGTGTACCCTTTGGAAAGTTTGAGAACTGTATCCCTGTCCTTTGCAATTAAAAATTATAGAATAGCAAAGGGGTGTGGTACCCAGAAAGAGGCATTTTTGTGCAGAAAAATTACAGGGAAGGGAAGAAGAGGAGTAGCTCAACACACCCCACTTAGGAACAATGGCAGAATTCATTCCAGGACAGCAGTTAGGGTGTGAAGGGTATGCATTGGAGAAATTAGAATGTTTAACCTAGAAAAGGGGGATTCTTAGGCAGGAGGACATGGACAGTGTCTTTGTATGTCAAGGACTGTCATGTGGAAAAAGGATTCTCATTTTTCTACTTGGACTCAAAGGACAGAACTAGGACCAGTTGTGAAGAGGGGAATTTCAGTTTGATGTAAAGAGAAATCTCGTAATGGGAGCTGTTGGGAGGTGTTGTGCTCCCCCTCCCTGGAAGCCTTCAAGCAAAGACAGAATGACTGCCAGTTGGGCATCTTTTAGAGGGACTTCTTATTCAGTTACTGGTTGGACTGGAGAGCTTCTGAAGTCTGTTTCCACTCTTAGGTCTGATCTATGCTTGTGTGACGTGCCATTTATCTCCACAAAGACAGGATCATAGAAAAAGGAAAGAACCCTAAAATACTCTCGTTAAAAACAGTCAATAACGAAATCTGTTATTTTGTCATTTTAAAATCAAGGGTATGTTTTTGCTTTTCAGAACAACTTCTTGAATTTATGCATCAGTTGCCTGCTTTTGCTAACATGACAATGTCTGTTAGAAGAGAACTCTGTGCTGTGATGGTATTTGCAGTGGTGGAAAGAGCAGGAACCATAGTGTTAAATGATGGAGAAGAGGTAAGTAAAACTTCCCTCAAATTATGGAGGACGAGTTATTATCTCAGAATTGATCATTAAAATAACATTAAAAACTAGCAAATGCTAAAAACTTTATTTCCTTCCCAATCCCTTCTTCTTTTTTTTTTTTTTAACCTCTTTGCTATCCATGTCTCCATCTGTCACCTAAGTTTTAAGTAATGTAGACACCATTAAGCCCTGGCCTCCCATCTTTCTCCAGGACAGTATTCCATTCTACCATTTCAAGGGGCTTCACTGGAATTTTTCTTACTTGGTCATATTACCAAGATTTATAGTTATCTTACCTTTAGTGTTTTATGTTTTAACCAATTTTGTTTCTATTAGAAACATTCTAGCTTTTAGCTATTTACAAATATAATGTTTTTCTAAAAGAATGAGAAGAAGTATTATTTATGACTGCGTAGTGTGTGGTTGTTGGGGTTTGCATTCCCCTCCTCCCACTTTCTTGGAGTTGGGGGGGTGTATTAGAGATGATTTCTGGGTTTGTAATTTTAGAGGTGGATTGGGGTGGGGGGGAGACTATCAATGAAAATGACCATTCTTACCATCTTTGTAATTTTTTCTTTTTCTGTGTTTAGCTGGACTCCTGGTCAGTGATCCTAAATGGTTCAGTGGAAGTGACATATCCAGATGGAAGAACAGAGATTTTATGTATGGGGAACAGTTTTGGTGTCTCCCCTACTATGGACAAGGAATACATGAAAGGAGTAATGAGAACAAAAGTGGATGACTGCCAGGTAAAAAAAATATAAGAAACATATGTTATTGTTCTCTTGCCAAGTGCCTGTTTGCAAAAAGGTGTGCCCTGGTGTTGAGAAGATTTTCCTGAAACTTGTGCAGTGCCCTTCAGCCTCTTTGTAAATTATACATAGTACATTTATAAAGATTTAAAATTGTTTATGTTCAGTTCAATTCAATAATTTTTTGGTGCTTACTAGTTACAGAATCAGGTGCTAGAAATGTAAAGAAAAAAAGTATCCTTAAGAGAGATTAGTGTGGCCTCAGTATGAGAATAAGTATAAACATAAACACGTCTAAAAAATAAACGTATCCAAAATGCTTTAATTTTTCAGAACTGTGATGGGTAAATAAAGAGTATTTTACCATTATTTAGAATCACTAAGAATATCATTGAGTACCATGCTTTAGAACAAGGATGGGGGGAAGAAATTAAAGCAAAAGAATTAATTGCAAGTTTAATAAGTGTTGATCCAGGGGCAGCTAGGTGGTACAGTGGATAGAACTCTGGCCTTGGAGTCAGGAGGACCTGAGTTCAAATGTGGCCTGAGACACTTGACACTTATTATCTGTATGACCCTGGGCAAGTCACTTAACTCCGATTGCCTCACCGAAAAAAAAATAAGTGTTGATCCACGTGCAAAAATTTTCCCCTAATAAATTATTAAACCATAAGACAATGAACTAGAATTGTTGTGAAGAAAGTAGTTAGTGCCAATCAGTAAAAAAGGGATTACTAGTAGTATTCAAAAGAAATCTGAGTCTTAACATTGTGAAAATTATTATGTATTCCATAACATTTGTGAATATAGTAGAAAGAAGATGATGACTATATGAAGTAGAGAGAACATTTATTAAAATAGGAAACAGAAGATGTGAGACTTCATTACTTTTGGATTTAGTTACCCATTGACTTCTAAAGAATGTTAGTGAGAAGAACCAGAAAAAAAAATAATTATAGAATGGAGTGGGTAGATTCAACATCTTTCAACAGAGGAATAGCAATTAAATATATATTGGCTGTGAAAGAATTGAAGCAGATCAAATCCAAAGGCTGAAGGGTCAATAAAACATAAGATTAGTTGAAACAGTGGGGAGAAGTATCAGACTAGGAAATTACCATAAAATATGGAAACTGGGAAAAAATCTACGAGAGTAATAAATACAGTGAAATATTTAAATTCAATCACAGCTTCTTGTCTGATTGGATCAGTTGGTGTAAAGTGTAAATTTTTAGTTTTGCTTGTTTATTTTTCATCCATACCTTTTAATACATCTAGATGAGAATTAGGTTTTGTTTTGTTTAGTTTTTAACTTGATTTTTAAGAAAAAATATAGTAGCTGATCTGTAAAAAAAAAAAAGTTGTGAAATGCCAATTTGAAAATTTATAATTGAAAAAAATCTATAAATATAGATTTATCTACCCGTTTACTCAGGTAATGATAACAAATGGCTCAGGGAGAAATGGAATTTATGGTCATATTTACCTTGTCAAGTAACTTCATTGTTAGTGGACATTGTGGGGAAAATAACAACATGGCTTTAATGAAATATTTATATTAAATGTTGGTAGAGAGACAACAAAATAAAGACTAGTCATCTCTCAATTATCCATTGTGTGGCAGTGAGAAAAAAAAACAGATAATCTCTGAAATCATCTGTATTTATATTTTCATTGCATTCTTGTTCTTTGTGATCCTAAGAATTTAATTCCTTAAAAACATTAATGAATTATTAGTGAAGTCCTAAATCAAAAAAGAAGGGAAATTATCCAGTTTCTCAGTGCAAATTACTGATCAGCTCTTCTCTGATTCCTGCTGGGGAGATCTTGGGATGGTGAATTTGGTTAGGATGCCATATTCATCTGTTAATGAAAAAGAATGACATTTATTTTATAAGTAGTTATAATAGTAGAGGGAAGCATATCATTGTGTCTCAAGGTATCAGATAGTAATGTTAAATGAAATAATCGATTGCTATCTAAAACAGCATTAAGTAGACCAGAGCACATAAAACACGTGTCTGGGAAAAGCAAAGTTTTGAGGTATTTTGTCATGCTTCTATAAATGCAAGTCATACTTTGTATGACTGAAAAAGTTTCTTGACTGACAAGTTTTTTATTATTTATAACATGGTTGAGTTAAAAAAATAGTTACTGAAAGTTTCTTTTTCTGTTGTACTCTTAGAAAGTGGACACGCAGTCCTTCATTATTAGGTACAATCTATTAGGTATGATCTAGGATGGGGCACTGGACTTGGAGTCAAGGAGACCTGAGTTCAGATTGTGCCTCAGATACTAGCCGTGTGATCCTGAGAAAGTTACTTTACACCTCTGTGCTTCAGCTTTGTCACCTGTAAAAGTGAGGGATTTCAACTTGGTGAAGTATTATGGTTCCTTACAGCCTTAAATATCCTATCACCATGAGACAGTCATTGAGTCAGAACCTTAACTTACATGGAATGGGACAATTGTACCTATATATGTAAATATATAGTAGGGGGAAAATATAAATATATTGACTTTGGCACAGAGTATGAGCTAGAAATAATTATGTGAGTTTTATAGCCTGTTAGCAAAACTTTCCACAAAGGTTACATAAATATATAGTTCTAAATGTATATTGAAGTTTATAATCTCTCTTATCTTTGAACTTTAATGCATGGGGATTATATTATGTTTAGTATTTTTTTTCTGTTTGAATTGATCAATCCATAAGTATTTGTTAAGCATCTTCTGTGTGTCAAGTATGGTACAATATCCTATAGTGGAAAGAAAAAGTCTTGTCTCTCTCTCCCTCCTCCCTTTTTTCTTTCCTTCCTTCCTTGTTTTCCTTCCCTTCCTCCCCTATATCATTCTTGATCCAGCTCCTCCCATCTATGTCTCTTCCAACCTCCTCTCATCCACATCCGGTCAGCTGCTAATTTGCGCAAAAGGAAGAATAGTCCACATGAAGGATTTTGATTTCTTAGCAGTGCCCAATATAGTTTAAGATGGAGAATGCTGTATTAGGTGACTTGAAGTCATTGTCTGAATTTTTTTTTTTTTTGGGTTAGGCAATGGGGTTAAGTGACTTGCCCAGGGTCACACAGCTAGTAAGTATTAAGTGTCTGGGGCTGGATTTGAACTCAGGTCCTCCTCAGCTCTATTCACTGCGCCAACTAGCTGCCCTTATTGTCTGAGTTTCTATGGAGCATATTGAAAGATAAAGGAAAAAATTTTATTTTATGCTTTTCCATTTTAAACTTTTTTATATAATTAGTATGTAAGTTATATGTAGTCTTGAAAAAGTAGCCTTAAAACAGTGGGCAAGTGAGATTTAACAGAAACTTTTATTAATATAGCTCTGTAAGGATGAAAAATGCTTCTGAAGGGGCAGCTAAGTGGCGCAGTGGATAGAGCACTGGCCCTGGAGTCCAGGAGGACCTGAGTTCAAATTTGGCCTCAGACACATAACACTCACTAGCTGTGTGACTCTGGGCAAGTCCCTTAACCCCAATTGCCTCACTTAAAAAAAAAAAAAGCTTTTATAGAATTCTTAATTGATGTTTTCTTAAGGTAAAAAAATCAATACCAATACATATAAAACAACCCTCTGTAGCAATTAATGGAGAATTCTGTTCAGGTGTATTTTGCTCTATTAAATTGTGTAAGGTACCCTTGCTTGAAATTTCTGGTTTAAATAATTTTAAAATTGTATTATCAATTTATCTTTTAAAAAAAAAACTCTTTGAAAGCTTTTTATTAATAAGTGCTTGGTAATGTCTCATCATACCTTCCAGTTTGTCTGCATAGCCCAGCAGGATTATTGCCGCATTCTCAACCAGGTGGAAAAAAACATGCAAAAAGTAGAAGAGGAAGGAGAGATAGTTATGGTGAAAGAACACCGAGAACTTGACCGTACTGGAACAAGAAAAGGTCACATTGTCATCAAGGTAATTTTTTTAAAAAGCCAAAAAAACTTACTATTCTGAGGAGTTATTTAAATAGTTCAGATCTGCCTAAGATTTTATATTCTTGGCATTATTTAAATTTAATTTCAATTTTTAAAAAATTTGTTAAGTACTTACTCATGTGCAAGGTGCTTTGCTAGATGAAAAAAAAATGACAGTGCTTATGCTTAAAGAGCTTACATTCTAAACCAGAGATGTCAAACCATGGGGTGCACGCACAACACTCAAGACTAAACTGTAATTCAGAAATATTTAACAAAATAAATTTTAAAATATAGATATAGAATATAGTGTTAATATGTGATTTTTAAGTTAATCTGTGATTTGTAGGTATCTTTATATACAATTTAGTCACCCCCATTTAGATATGAGTTTGCTACCTCTGCTCTAAACAATCTTTTCATGTTTATCACTACACATTAAAACTATAGAAGAAATTCCCATCTCTTTGATGACTAGCAGTTTCAGATTTTTAATCTACTAAAGCTGATGACTTGTATTTTACTATATCAGAGAATGGTCACCAGTTGATCCTATCTATATTTGGGGACACAGCCAATGGATTAAGTGAATTTTCTGCTATGCGTATAAGATACTACTCATGCATGACAAATATTTCCTTATTTATCATAGGGCACTTCAGAAAGATTAACAATGCACTTGGTTGAAGAACATTCAGTGGTAGATCCAACATTTATAGAGGATTTCCTACTGACCTACAGGACCTTTCTATCCAGCCCAATGGAAGTGGGGAAAAAGTTATTGGAGTGGTTCAATGACCCTAGCCTCAGGGATAAGGTTGGAAATTTATATCAACTTTTAAACGCCAAATATTTATGTAAAAGAATCTGTGTGTGTGTGTGTGTGTATAGTGTGTGTGTGTGTTTTATCTGTTTCTTATGCCAGTTAACTTCAGATGGATCTCTGAGGTAAACTATATCAAAAATGTACGTTTCTAGTTCTTGGATCATTTTGCAACCACAAATGGCATGAATATACTCATGATGGGAAGCAGCTAAACTTCTGAGACTAAACTTTAGATGACAGTCAAATCTGCAACATTTTAGAGCAGGGGCAAGTAACCTTTTTTTTTTTTTTTTTGGCACCGTGGATGTCTTTGGCATACTGGGGTAACATATGGACCCCTCTTCAGAATGGCGTTCTTAAATGCATAAAATAAAATGCGCAGGATTCCAAAAGAAATGGGTTATATTGAAATACTTACATACATGTATGTGTGTGTATATTTCATATATCAATATAGATATATATTGAAATAGTTATGTGTGTGTGTGTGTGTGTTGTCACTCTTGATTTTCTGGTTAGCTGTGTGTGTAACTATATATTTGTATTGTTATACACACACACACACACACACACACACACACACATGTTCATGGTACCTGGGTTAAGAACCCCTGCTTTAATTTAATTTAATTTAATTTTTTTAGGCAATTGGGGTTAAGTGACTTGCCCAGGGTCACACAGCTAGTGTCGAGGGTGTGGTCTGAAGCCAGATTTGAACTCAGGTCCTCCTGACTTCAGGGCCTGTGCTCTATCTGCTGCACCACCTAGCTGCCCCAAGAACCCCTGCTTTAGAACATCACATTAGAAACAATAATCTATAATACAGATACTTTTTTATTTAATTTTGAAGAGCAGTTTGGAAGCATTTGGAAGAGGCAGTCCTATGTATTTGTCAAGTATGTAGCCTCACACTTTATCAAGTTAAATTAAAATTCCATTAAATGAACTCAAGACAAAGAAAAGAGCATTAACATTTAGAGAATATTTGGTAATTTTGGAGAGCCTGCACTCCCCTTTTTCAAGTGTTGTGGACAGAAGCTAGGTTGCAAAAGACTGAGGAGTTGGAGAGAAGGAAGGGAGAAGAAATCAATATAAAGTAGTAATTTTAGGGAATGCCAAGGTCAAGTGAACATTTTTTGAGGATGGGGGAGCAGAGGGGGCAATGATTAATGTGACATTGGAGATGAGAAAGAAATAATTGAGGGCAGGTAGGTGGTATAATGGAGAAAGCACTGGACCTGAAGTCCAGGAAGGCCTGAATTCAAATCTGGCCTCAGACACTCACTAATGGTGTGACCTTGGGCAAGTCACTTAACCTGTCTACCTCAATTTACTTATCGATCAAATGCAGATATAATACCAACTACCTCCCAGAGTGTGAAGATAAAATGAGAATATTTATAAAGTTCTTTGCAAACCCTAAAGCACTGCATAAATGCTCTTTATCATCATCATGCTGGTGGTGGTGATGGTGTTGATGATGTTGATGCCAGGCTACTGTAGGGTGCTAGATCAAGAACAAAAGTAGAGTGGTTGCCCTTGGCAAGGAGAAGAGAATGGAAAACAAAAGAGAGAGTAGAATTTGGAGTGGGTTAGACAGGGAGCCTGTGGCAGACAGTCTCTATTTAAGCGGTATTGTAGAATGCGAGGTCCTTCATTGAGGAGGAAGGAGATGGAAAGAGAGGAAGAGTATCCCAGGAAGTCTTGGAGAGAAAAAAGTTTGGACTAACCGCTGCACTGAAAAATGTAGAACAGTTGCTTAGAGAAGAATTATAATACAACTACTAGAGCCAAGTTGGGATTAGATAATACATACCTGCCATGAACCTACTATGAAAGTGTGCCCACAAGCATTGAACAGCTCATGAGTGGGAATGGAAGAGGCCAGGGGATAATGGTACACAAAGAGTCATTGAGGTATATGTGAGGGTATGTGGTTGAACTAGTCAACCATAGCGGGATCAAGATTGTGAAGAAGGAAGGGAGGTGATCAGAGCAGTGTCCCTCTCTGGCTTGCTATCCCCAGGTCATCTCCATCATCCACACGTAGAGGCAACCCCCTTCCCTATGAAAAACAATTGGCAAGCCATTCACTCCATGAAAACATGGTTCTTAGAAAGAAAACTGTCTTTCTAGACATAGGAATTTTTATTGGATTTTTTTGGGTACATTTCAGAGTTTTGAATTTAAAACTAGCATCTGGAGATTTTTCCGGAAATACTGTTAAACTTAATTGAGGAAAACTTACTCAAGAATAAATTGACTTACAGGTTACACGGGTAGTGTTGTTGTGGGTGAATAATCACTTCAATGACTTTGAAGGGGATCCTGCCATGACTCGATTTCTAGAGGAATTTGAAAACAATTTGGAGAGAGAGGTAAGATGAATGATTTTCCCACGGCTCCATTTCAAGTATTCATTTTTGTCACCATGTAGTAATCTCTTTATATTTATGCCACACCTTTTGAACTCTTGCAGAAAATGGGTGGACATCTGAGGCTATTAAATATTGCATGTGCAGCTAAAGCTAAGAGGAGATTGATGACACTCACGAAGCCTTCACGGGAAGCTCCTTTACCTTTCATTTTGCTTGGAGGTTCTGAGAAGGGATTTGGTATCTTTGTGGATAGTGTGGATTCAGGTAGCAAAGCAACAGAAGCAGGCTTGAAGCGTGGGGACCAGGTATGCTCAAATGAACCTCAACTTTAGATTGAATAGCAGGACCCCTTTTTCTCTAATTAAATACATTTGCTCATAGGGTCATAGACTTGATATATTTTGTAATTTTATTTTCAGATTTTAGAGGTAAATGGTCAAAATTTTGAAAACATTCAGCTTGCAAAAGCCATGGAAATTCTGAGAAATAATACACATTTATCTATCACTGTGAAAACTAACCTATTTGGTAAGTGTTCCAGATATCCACTTTTCCTTCCTTGTCTTTGAAGGGGTCCATACTTTCAAAGATTTCTTCAAGCTTCTCCAAGATGACTTCAGTTATATAGGGCATTTATGCTTAACACTTCTTAGGGCTTTACTTTTAATGAACAGGCTATAGAAATGCCTATAATAAAAGGTATATGGAATATGTTGAATGAACTGGGGATTAAAATGCAAATCCATTCACTTAAAGATGGCACGAGTATACGTGTATTCTTTCCCTAAGGAATGTCAGAAATGTGCTGCCCCTCTGTTAGAGGCTAAATGGTCACACACCTAGAGGGTCCTGCATAGAGTAATACTGAGGGAGAAGGGCACAGCCCTGGACAGCATTCACCTTACCCATTCACAAGGATGGAATCATCTCCCACCAAGTTGCTGTTCTCTGCCTATCCCTTGTGAACCATCCTCCCCAGACATGTTGCATTTTCCCACTGGGGTTGGGCAGCACGACTGTTGAGATTTTACAATTTTTGTGATTTGGGTTTTGTTTCTTTCAATGTAGTGTTTAAAGAACTTTTAACGAGATTATCAGAGGAGAAAAGAAATGGTGCCCCACATCTCCCTAAGATCGGAGACATTAAAAAGGCTAGTCGCTACTCGATCCCAGATCTTGCGGTAGACGTGGAACAGGTGATGGGACTTGAAAAAGTAAATAAGAAAAGCAAAGCCAACACTGTTGGAGGAAGGAACAAGCTAAAAAAGATACTTGACAAGACTCGCATTAGTATCTTGCCACAGAAACCATATAAGTAAGTGCCAGGTTTTTATTTTCTGCATAAATGATACTTTAATGTGTGTTAGGAACCATGGAACAGCTTTGAAATCGTTTTATGGACACATGGGTGCATTCTTAGTGTGCACATGAACAAAGTTGGTATGTTCCCAGATTTCATCTCTGAGACATCTACTGTCTTAATAGAGATATAAAGAAAATAATTTGATTTCTGCCCCCAGTTATTGTATCTATGTGCCTTTTTTCTAAAGCTAAATGTGGTGAGAAAGACAGTGTTGTCTACTGACTAGGGGGCTGGCCTTGGAGACCGCAAGACCTCATTTCAGGTCCCGCTTGATATAAATGCTGGCTGTGAGACTCTTGGGCAGATCACTTAACCTCTCAGTGCCCTGAGCAATTTTCCGACAGTATAAGCTGCAGGGCTACTGTGGATTGGCATTGTTAAAAGGAATTTCTAAACTTCAAGTTCCCTGTACCGATGGAATCATGAGTGGTTTATAAAAACAAAACAAAATGCTTTCGTTTTGTGCACTTCTCATTTGGGATCTTTAAATTAAAAATGTGTAGGAATGTATGCAAAGGCAGAGGGCCTTAACGTCTATTCTGTGTATTTAGAAATATAGAAATGAAATAATGTTTTTTAAAGTGAAAAATCAGTTTTGCCAGAGTCCAAGTCATTCTGAGTGGCTTTTTTAAAATTAAAGATTGGTAGGGGCAGCTCGGTGGCGCAGTGGATAGAGTACCGACCTTGGAGTCAGAAGGACCTGAGTTCAAATCTGGCCATAGACACATAGCAGTCACTAGCCGTGTGACCCTGGGCAAGTCACTTAACTCCAATTGCTCTCACCAAAATTAAGAAATAAATGAATAAATTATATTAAAGATTGGGTTGAACTTTAAAGTGTCCTTTAAGTGCTAGAGTGCTTAATTTTAACTTTTAAGGCTTTTAGGTGGCACAGTAGATATAGAGCACTAGACCTGAAATCAACCTGAGTTCAAATCTGATTCAAATACTTAACAGCTAGCTCTGTGACCCTGGACAAGTCACTTAACTTCTGTCTGCCTCAATTTCCACAATGTAAAATGGGGATAATAATACCAACTACTTTCCAGGATTGTTGTAAGGTTCAAATAAGATAATATTTGTAAAGCTCTTATCTCAGTGCCTGGCACATAGTCGGTGCTGTATAAATGCTTATTCCCTTCCCTCCCTTTTAATGCAAATATTCTAAAATATATTGTGCATATACTGCCTTGCGGCTTAACTTTTAAAGACATTGTATTGAGGTGTAGCTTTCTGTGTGATCTCCCTATTCCCCCAGCTGTTCCCTTTGCCACTCGCCACCAGCGTTTTTCTCTCTTCCTTTTATCATGTTCCCCCAACACACACACACACACACACACACACACACAAAACATCTGTCACATGCCTTCTGGGGTAACCCAGAAAATGCATTGGTTCTCAGGGACATTGCCGTGGATTTGAACAGTCTCATTTATGATCTGGTTCTTCCTGTTATCTTTAAAAACCACAAAGCAGCAGATGGAACCGTTGCGACAGCTGGCTGAGCAGCAGATGTTGGTGGGAAGGGTTCCTCTTTGCTGCTGCTTCTCTCTACGCTGCTTCCTTCACACTGCTCTCTATTGTGTCTCTACCTTTTGGGCGCTGATCTTCTGCGCTGTCCCTGTGCATTGCTGGTTACCTCTTCTGATTGTTACGGATGACCACTGCAGCCACTTTTTTCTGCTTGATTTCTCTCTGCCTTTCTCCCCACTTTTTTCTTTTTGTCCCATCTATCCCCCTTCAGTTTTCCCTTGTACTGTGTTGTATTAGGTTGAACTTAGAGTCAAAAGTCTGGTGTCCTAGTCCAGGCTCCAAAACTCGCAGTGACTGTGGCCAAGTCATCAGTCTCCCTGAGCCCAAGTTCCCTCTTCCATAAAACAGGCATGATGACCTCACGGGGGTATAGTGAAGAAAGTGTTTTATTGCAAAGTGATGGGTAACTGTGAACTCTTGTCTTTTACATGAAAGGTTGGCCTTTGTACCTGTGATCAGCCCATCAGAGTACCCTTTTTCTCCAACTTTGCTAACCATCCAGTCATAGCTTTTTTGGTGTAGGTCTTAGAGCTAAGAAGCTCTCCTTTCTTGTGCTTGTTCATCCCTTGGTCCTCTGTGTTATCGGTACTGAGCACTCACAAAGGCTCTGGAGGAGCAAGTGAGGTTGGTGATTTTGCACAGCCCTTCCTCACTTACTTAACTCCTTGTAAGTCATGACATCTCCTTTCCAATGTCTTGGTCCTCTTCAGGAACAAAGGACAAGGAACAGCAGCAACAACATGTATGAACTATATCAGATTGCTTGCTGTCTTGGGGAGGGAGAAAGATTTGGAATTCAAAATCTTGAAGTGAATGTTGAAAACTATCTTTACATGTAATTGGAAAAAAATAGAATACTGTTAAGTGGGAGGAAAAAAATAACCTCCAGGGGCTCCCTACCACCCACCCATCTCCAGGATCACATAGCAAATCCTCTTGGGGTTTAAAGCCTTTAATAATTTAACTTTTCCCCCTCCCCCCCCCATCTTTCCAACCTTATCCTCATCTTCTCTCTCCCCACCCCCTCCCCATATTTGAACCAACGACCCTCCCTTCTTTTAGGAACATGACGTTAGATCTCTTTGCTCTGGGCGTTTTCTCTGGCTTTTCCCAGTTCCTTGTAAACGCTCTCCTTCCTCATCTCCATCTCCTAGTTTCCGTCGCTTCCTGAGAGTCAGCTTAAAATCCCATAGTCTACAGGAATTCTTTCCCAATTTCTATTAATTCTACTGCCTTTCCTTTGTTAATTATTTCCTTTTATCTTGTATATAGCTTGTTTGCACATATTTGTTTGCTTGTTGTCTTTCCCATTAGATTGTGAGCTCATCTATGGCAGCGACTGTCTTTTGCCCCTCTATGTATTCCGCCCCCATGCTTATCACGGTGACCGACACATAGTTGGTGCTTAATGAATGCTTATTGTATCAAATATATGTCCAGGTTAGCTCAATAACTATTTTTACATACTGCTTTGTGATTAGAATAATAATAGTCGCTACTCTGTATCATTCAATTTTTATATAAATTCTAGTAAGGAAGAGCTATGAGTGGTTGAGTGAAACTCTATTGTTATGTCCATTTATTTTAAAGCATTTTGACTTTTTAAAAATTTATAGGAGAATTTTATCTCTTTCTTCATGTTTCTAGATATAGATGCCTATAGAGAAGTTTTGGGGCAGCTGGGTGGTGCAGTGGATAGAGCACTGGCCCAGAAGTCAGGAGGACCTGAGTTCAAATCTGGCCTCAGACCAAATACTTGACACGTACTAGCTGTGTGACCTTGGGCAAGTCACTTAACCCCAACTGCCTTACCAAAAAAAAAAAAAAAAAGAGGTTTTGCCCCTGACCATCTAATGAAGTTACAATGATCTAACATTTAGTTTAAATAGTACTCTATTTTTTCCAATTGCACATAAAGACAATTTTGTTTTTGAGTTCCAAATTTTCTCCCTCCCTAATATGTTAAGCAATTTGATATAGGTTATGTATGTACAATCACATAAAACATTTCTGTATTTGTCATGTGGCAAAAGAGGAAACTGACCAAAAGAAAAAAAAACAGGAAAAAAAAGAAAACGAAAATCATATGTTTTGATCTGCATTCAATCTCCCTCGGTTCTTTCTCTGGATGTGGATAACGTTTTCCATCATGAGAAAGACCTAACATTTAAAAAAAAATTGCTTCTTTAGAAATGATACAATTTACTTGTTATAGTCTTCCCCAATATATTTTGTGTTAGAACACCTTTCCCCCAACTTTCCATTTCCATTAAAATACGTAGTACTCATTCTTCTGCTGGTTATTTTTTAATGGAACAGATATAAATGGCAGATGTGGCCATGTCACGTGTTATTTGACAACTTAACATGAAAAATGTTATTTATCATTTTGTCAGGAGTCTTTTGTTTACATTACTTAATTCTTCCTAATTTCCAAACATTAATGGAAAACTCTCTGAGAGATATTACTAATGACCTATGAATTCAGTGCTCTTATTGTTGCTTTTGAGAATGTGACCTCAAAGTTAAAATATATAGCACCATTCTTCCTTCCATGGTTATCTGGAACTGACCAAAGTCTTAAAAAACGGAAATATTCATACTTATTCTTCCCTAGGACCTTAAGAAGGTAATTAAACATTTTATTTATGGGCAAAGAAATAAGTTGAAAAGATTTCAATATATTTCATTTATTTCAGAATCCAAGAAATGTCAATGCTAATCTCTTAATTAGCAAAGTGTCATGTGCAGTCTGTCCATGAACTACAATGGAATTTCTTACACTAGAATTTTAGGTGATCTACTTTCCTAAGGGATAACTTGGGAGAACTAATGTGTGACTTTCTGGATCATCTTCTCTTCCTTCTTAATTGTCTTCAATGAATGAGTTATAAAGCACTTCAGTAACCAGATGTAGAAGTATTTTATTTGCCAGTTGAAACTGAACAGATATTCCTAAATGAGTTGTTTTTTTTTTTCATGAATCTATTTCACTCAGTCACCAAACCGTATCTTCTCTTTGCTATTATACCGTTCTGAGAAATTGGCTGTTAATACTGGTCATTTTCTGGTAGTGTTAATAGTTACAGTGATAATAATATTTATTGAACACCAATTGTGAGTGTGCATGTGTATGTCTGTTTGTCTGGTTAGGGAGCGAATCATTGTGTCATGCAGGTGGAAAATAGCAAATTCTGTTGGGTCTGCGTATTAGAAGTACTGAGCATATTAAGTGTATGTGTTCATTACAAATAGATTTTTTTTATTGTTCAGGTTCTGAAATGTGGGTATTATGTATCTGGATAGCTCATAAAAACTGACATCATTTTGAACTGTTGATGTACTATTTGCTGCTTTATTCCTTGCTCAGTGATATTGGAATTGGCCAGTCTCAAGACGACAGCATTGTAGGATTAAGGCAGACAAAGCACATCCCAACGGCATTACCTGTCAGTGGAACCTTATCATCTAGTAATCCTGATTTATTACAGTCACATCATCGCATTTTAGATTTCAATACTACTCCAGGTGAGCACCAAACTCTTTACCTTTTTTTTTTTTCTATCTGTACTCTCTATCCTTTGTTTTAATTTTATAAAAGCAACTTTGGGCTATTAACATGTAAGAGAATTCAGCTTTTTTGGAAAATCTCCTCAACAGATGGATGTCATATATTTTTCCTCAGTGGGAAATAAAGTCAGGATCTTATGTGGTTCTCAATACTATTCTATTTTTTCCAAATTAAATTTCAAATACTTTTGTTTTGCTATTATTAAGTACCCCTTCCTTAAGAACTGTCTAGTTGCTCAAGAATATGAAAAAAATATAAACTATATGTTAGTCATCCAAAAAAGTTTTAGGGAGGGAGTTTGGAAATTGGCTGGATTCATTCCCTTGAAAAAAAGCATTAAAATGCAGAGCACATGGATAGGCTCCATTGCATTATGTTTAACCTTGTTGGTGACATTGAACTTCTCTGCCTTTATGAGGATCTCAGAGGTACTATAGTAAAAATATCACTTGCTGCCCTTTCTAAAACATTACTTTCATCATTAAATATTGTGCCTTTATAGATTTTACACTAATTTTTAACCATTCACTCACATATAAATTTAAATTTTTAAAGGTATATGTAGTGTTCAGCAATAATATTTAATCTGATATCTTAGAAAGTATTTGAATTTATTTTTAATGATTTTTTTTAAAATTTCCAGATAACTAGGATGGCCTATTACTTTTATGGTTGTTGACCTTCTCCATGTCTATTACAAACCTTTAGATAAAGAGTGTTTAATCTTTTTTGTGTCCTGGACCCCTTTGGTAGTTTGGTGAAACCTATGGACCCTTTCTCAAAATAATATTTTTAAATTGCATATAATATAATAGAATTACAATTGAACTAAAGGATTGTAATGGAAATGAAGATGTCATTTCTTTTCTTATCCAAGTTCATGAAATCTCTGAAGTCTAGTTACAAACCCCCTGTGGTTCTGTAGATCCCAGGTTGAGAACCCTTGCTTTATATATTCAAACATCCTGCTCTCCTATTGGTGTTTTATCCTGCTTTGCCCCAGAATGAACATCATTTCATGCATCATCTCTTGACTTCTCCAAATCCCCCTGAACTACTACCACCAGTGTTTAGCCTGTCTTGATAATGCCTTCTCAGGCTGTGAATATTATCTCCCTTTTAAAATCTCCCCAATAATTCTGGTCAGACTGCTTTTGTGTACCAATATTATTTTATTTGTGTTTGTTTTATCTTCCCTGTTAGACTATAAGCTTCTGGGGAATAGAGAGAGAAAGAATGTGTCTTGCTTCATCTTTATAACCTCAGAGCCTACCGTAGTGTTCAGCATATAGTAGATGTATTAACTATATGTTGAACAGGATGAAGTAAAATAAATTGGGTAGTAAACCATATCATGAAAAACCAACTTAAGAGAGATTTACACTTCAGATGTTTGTTCTCAGTATGATGAGTTATGCTTGCCAGGTCAAACTTACATTTATCTTGTAACCGTCACTCCTTTGATAATGTTGTGATAGCCCCATTCCATTCCCTTGCCAAATCCACTGAAGCACTATTTCATTCCTTTCCTGAGTTCAAAGCGTGTCTTTGGCATATCTTTAAGAGAAAGATTTTAGAATTTGTGTATATTTCATCTGTGTATAGATCAAGTCATGACTTAGGGGAAGTGAAAGTTGAGGGAAGAAGAAAAAAAGTATGACATTATTGATCATAGTCAAATTTTCAGGTCATCTTTTTCAGTTGGCTCCAAATTGTATCCCTGTATTTCCTGACCCCATAGTTTTCATGTGTGACTTCTTTTTTTTTCTTTTTTTTTTTTAGATTTACCAGACCAAGTTTTAAGAGTTTTTAAGGCAGACCAGCAGAGCCGCTACATCATGATCAGCAAGGACACAACAGCAAAAGAAGTGGTCATTCAGGCCATCAGGGAATTCGCTGTGACTGCCACACCTGATCAATACTCTTTGTGTGAGGTCTCTGTTACTCCAGAGGGAGTAATTAAACAAAGAAGACTGCCAGATCAGCTTTCCAAACTGGCCGATCGAATACAACTGAGTGGAAGGTAGATAACCATAGAGCATACAACATCCATTTTTTTTTCCTTGAAGAAAGTTATTTTTAAATTGCTTCACTTGCTCCAAAATGACTTAGAGTAATCATCCATGATTATCCAGTTGGCTTTCCACTATAATTCCCTACCCTTCCAGTTTTCAGATATGACTAGAATGGAGTAGTCTTATAAATGTGTACATTTACCAGCCCTTCCCCTTATTTTTTTTTAACAACCTTCCTCACCCAGGAATTATTTCATAACTAATAAAATAAATTGGTTGCACATTCTATGGTGTTCTTCTGACATAAGTAATTACTTGCCCTGGGAACATCTGCAAATGGCAAGGCTGATTTCAATACATAATCCAAGAAGGGCACCCAATATTCCATATCTACCTATTCTCTTTAGGGAAAGTGCCCTGGGAAAACTTCTGTCTTATAAATCCATGAGACCCATAAGTAGTTTTATTTTTCAAAAAAAATATAACATTAACCCTGCCATTGCTGAAGCAAGCATACAATCAAGTTTATATATAAAGAAACAGTAGCAGAGCTGAGTGAAAATAATTTCTAGAAGTCTGAAATTTTTAATTCTTGCTTTATCAATAACTAGCCTCAATTTCTACACCTTAATAATGGGGATGATAATAACAATCCTTGACCTTTACAGGGGACTTGGCATACATTATTTTAGTTGATGCACTAATCATTTGCTTCACTTTCCTTACAGGGTTGTTATCAAATCAACCATTGAAGCTTTGATAGTTTCTTGTCCTTGGAGAATCTATATTACAGGGGCAAGGTATAAGATGCTTGGAATTTCAGTAAAATAAAATAAGTGTGAGTTCATCTCAGGTGAAATTCCCTCATATTGAATTTTGCCTATTGTCAGATAGTAAGATTTTGGTCTATGAGACAGGCATGATAATTACCTGCCCCACTGCATAAAACTCCTTGGAGATTCTAGTTTCACTTTCATTCATCAGTTGAGAAAAGGGGAAACAATAGAGATAATCGTGTTGCCAAAACGCCTCTGCTTTGGATGCAAAGGCAAAAAAAAAAAAGAAAAAAATGCTTTAAATCTTGCTACCCTATGGTCAGAACATTCTTTCCAGCTGAGAAAACTATAATGAGGCCCAGGAAGATCCACTTCAAAAGCTTTCCTGCCTCCTTTCCCAGAGCCCTTAACTTTGGTTCATTTGAATGAGAATAACTTTCGATTACTTTAGGAGAGAAGGTAATAGAGGAAATTAAGTAAAGGAAGGAGAAAGAAATGGGGCAAAGGAGGGTAATTACTGTCATTTAAAAAGCAAATTCAATTTGATTTATTAGTAGAAAATTGTTACCAGTGTCTATGTGGCATCATTATCTATTGGATGAGAAAACTGGCATATTTACTCCTGGAGTTGGAAAATGTTGTCAGGAGTCACAGATGAATTTTCATTGGAGTCCTTTCATAAAATAGTGAATTATTCTTTCCAAGGATTATTGCATTAATGTTTTGTTTCACATAGGTATTATCTGAAAAACAACATGGAGACAGAAACACTTTGTTCAGATGAAGACGCTCAAGAGTTGTTGCGAGAGAGTCAGATTTCCCTCTTACAGCTCAGCACTGTTGAAGTTGCTACACAGCTTTCTATGAGAAATTTTGAACTTTTTCGTAACATTGAACCCACAGAATACATTGATGATTTGTTTAAGCTCAAATCAAAGACGAGCTGTGTAAACCTGAAAAAATTTGAGGAAGTTATTAACCAGGAAACATTTTGGGTGGCATCTGAAATCCTGCGAGAGACTAACCAACTAAAGAGGATGAAGACGATTAAACATTTCATCAAGATAGCATTACACTGTAGGGAATGCAAGAATTTTAACTCAATGTTTGCAATCATCAGGTAAGAGGATGAAGGCCATTTTGTCTGTCTTCAGATTCAATCCAGTTTACAAATTTGGTCTAATTATCAAACTGAAGATTAAGAAGTATCTAAAAGAATATTTGCAGTGTAGCTTCACTGGGTTTGATTGGTGAATTGAATAACTTGAACTACCAGTCAACTCTTTCTCTGGGCTATGATCTTAAAGTTAATGATCTTATTAAGACAATTTTAGGATTTAGGCTTTGAGGACTTATAAGAAAACAGAAAGTGAACTGGTGTAATGTATTCAGGGTCTTCTAAATAGAAGAATTTACATAATGTAGAACTGACTGTAAATTACAGGTATTTTGTGTCTGTACATTATTGCTGAGATCATCAATCATCGTTATTAACGTTTCACTTACTATATAGAATTTGATCACTTTTACTACCAAATATTCATTAGCACTGTTATATTTTACTTCACCTTCAGGAGTTCACTTCTACTCCTATGCCTTAAAGTGCCATGGAGGTAACACTGGGTTTTTGGAGCCATGAAATGTGAACAGAGTGATGTCATAGAGCCACTTCTGGACATGGAGCTAGTGAAGAGCCCAGTTGAAATTCCTACTCCAACTTTTATTGGCTCTGTGATCCTAAATAAATCATTTCACCCCTGAGCCTTAGTCTTTTCACTTATAGAACAGGAATAATGATATTTCTACTACCATGTTTGCAGAGCTGGTGTGAAAGCAATGTTTGGTAAATGTTAGAGTTTTATAGCAACATGAGTAGTTATTACCAAATTAGAGCATGTCAGGGGACTCTGTGTACTAGCTAAGTTTGGGAAACTCATCACCAGAAAATTGGCCACCAGGTGATGATTTTTTTTTTATCTTTTTGGCCACAGCAACTTATAAGACATTCTTCTACATCTTGGAGGGGGAAAGGTTTGCCCACACCACCTAGTCCCCATGTAGTTGGGGTTGCTTGATATGTATTGTATATGTTATATCTCTCTATCTCGATCTGCTTCCATACACTTCATATGATGTGCATAATCATTCTGAAGTGTCACCTAATTCACCTTTTCAATTATCTCCCAGTGGGCTGAACCTGGCACCAGTAGCAAGACTTCGGACTACTTGGGAAAAACTTCCTAGCAAATATGAAAAGTTATTTCAGGATCTCCAGGACCTATTTGATCCCTCTAGAAACATGGCAAAATATCGCAATGTCCTAAACAGCCAAAACCTGCAGCCTCCCATAATCCCTCTATTCCCTGTAATCAAGAAAGATCTCACATTCCTTCATGAAGGTAAATTAGAAATCTCGGAGTTGTGGTTTTTTTTTCTTCTTATTCTTGTGGGGAGTTTAGAAGCAAACACGGTCCTAATTTCCTTTCTCTCCCCCCCCCCCCCAACTATAGGAAATGATTCAAAAGTGGATGGCTTAGTTAATTTTGAAAAGCTGAGAATGATTGCAAAAGAAATTCGCCACGTTGGTCGAATGGCTTCAGTTAACATGGATCCAGCTCTAATGTTTAGAACTAGGTATGTTTTTCACCTTTAATAGCACATAATATACCTTCAAGATTTTCCAGCCTTTAAATTAAACTCAGAAAAAATTAAGGAACATTGTGTCCTGTCTGCCCTTTAATGGAACATGGTACACCCCTAGCATAAAGACCTTTAAAGAATAAAATGTCTGGGGGGCAGCTACGTGGCTCAGTGGATAGAGCACTGGCCTTGAAGTCAAGAGGACCTGAGTTCAAATTTGGTCTCAGACCAAACACTTGACACTTACTAGCTGTGTGACCCTGGGCAAGTCACTTATCCCCAATTGCCTTAACAAAAAAAAAAGAATAAAATGTCTGAAATAGCAACAGACACACTTTTAACAGTAATTAAATGACATTTTATTATTGCCATCATCATTTTTCTTTTTATTTTATTGTCTCCTGTATTTAAAAATTGAAGTATTTTTATTCCATTTCATACAATCCTTGTACATTAATTCAATGGTTTGGAGCTAAAACTTCAAAAGATGGTTTGTAGATTGAAAAATCCAAGTCACCTAAATAATGATAATATTGTGGCTCTGTACACAACCTGATAAACATTTTCAGTCCAGCCATATTTTTTGCTTTCTTTGAAAAAAAAAGAACAATTCAACTGGTTTTTGTTTTTTGTTTAAAAATTTAAATGAATGACTGACATTTCATTGATGGCATTGAAATCTAATCTCCCTGGAAAGACACAGTTTTTCTTCTTTTAGAAGAATATAAGAACTCTGCTGTAGTTTTTCCACATGGTATCATTCTGGTACACCTGTTGTTGAGACAAAAATAATTTTTGATTCAGTTGTATGTCTGAGATGATGCTGTTAATGTTTGTGGGCTTCTAGTACACTTGCTTGTCCTGAGGTCTAATTTCTTCTTCCTGTAAGTGAGAGCCATGAAGATTGAAGCATGTGTATAGAAAGAGAGACAGAGAAAGATCACAAGCTCAGAAAGAAGAAATGGAGGAGTTTGGGGTAAGTGGTTGGTGACAACGCCCACAGATGTACATCCTACTCTATTCATTTGCATTGTTTTTTTTCTGTCTGCTATTTGTATTTTCTGATGCTTTAGCATTTTTTTTTCTTTTGTTAACCCTCTTGCTCTGGCAGAATGTTAGATGACATACTGACATCATTTAATCCATTGGGGCTTTTGCTTTTGAGGTCATGAACATGAGAGCTGTGAAATAATTAACAATTACTTAGGGAAGATGTAGGGCAGACATACTTAAAAGCATCCAGATTGGCTTGATCCTAATATAATTGGTATGCCTTAGAATAATCCAAATGTGGGGGTGTAGGGGAAAAGGAAAATTTTACCAATGAATTTCTTATTTCTTTTACTGCATTTAGAAATGAATAGATATGAGATTGACCTCCAGATATTATAAACTTAACATTTTTTTACAGCTCAACTAACTACTATTTTCATCCTTATAAATCAATTCTTTTAAAATTTTATTCTTAACAATCCATGTGCCAATTAGTTTCTGTACATGTGTTCAAGTTTGCATGACTTTTGTACTCATATTAACTTATTGATTGCATTACTTACAAAAACTTACCATGTCCAACCCAAAAAATAAGAAAAAAAACTCAGTAATTTATCATAGCTACTGTTTTTTAAATTCTGTTTGAACTTTTAAAATTTATATTTTTATTAGCTATAGAAAGCTCTTTTTTAAAAGACCAGTCATTCTAAGCTGCGTAAGTTTAATTTTTTAAAAATTAAGTTTTTAAAGTTTTAAATTTTTAAAAGAAAAAAAATAAAAGCATGAGCTTTTAGAGACACTGTTATTCCCTGTTGACTTATATAGGAGAACTATTTTTAATTCTCTTCTAGATAGATGGCTGAACTGGAATTTGCCTAGTCACAGCAGAATAGGTGCCAAATACATATATAATTATGCAGATGTAATTATTTTTAGCCATATCAGTTTATTTTCTTTACCCTTATCCATCTACTTTGGTTTGTTTTGTTTTTAGTTTTTTTAGCTTTTTGTCTTACTGGAATGAGGCATGTAAGCTTTTCAATATAGATTTACATCCATGCAACCTTTGGCATGTTTCTTATTAACTCAGGGAACCTTGTTCTAGAATGAACTGCATTATTTTTTCTTTGTCTTTTCCAGATCTCTCAGTCAAGGTAGTACAAATGCAGCAGTTCTCGATGTTGCACAGACTGGCGGACACAAAAAGCGTGTACGCCGAAGTTCCTTCCTCAATGCCAAAAAACTCTACGAGGATGCCCAAATGGCTCGCAAGGTGAAACAGTACCTGTCCAACTTGGATCTAGAAATGGATGAGGAGAGTCTTCAGACATTGTCATTGCAGTGTGAGCCAGCAACCAATACCTGTGAGTTGTTTTTCCTGTAAGGTTACAAAAGTGTGTTTGGATCCTTGTAGGCATCAAGTGACTGGGAAGCAAAATTAGACTTCATCCAACAGAAGGTTTAAAAAGAAAAACAGAAAACATTGAGGGCAGGCCATAAAAATTGTAATCCTTTTCAAGCCATGACAATTCATCTTTTGTGGAAGACTGATTTTGAGATGAACCATTTAAATGTCAGACTAAGAATTAGAGAAGTTATTTAAATGAACACAGTTATTTAGAATGTATATTTCCTTAGCACTTCCCAATATTCCATTCAGAAGTGTGTTTGGGGAGGGGGGGGGCAGGTTTGAAGCATAAGGTTTCAGTGAGAAGTGAAGTAATTAGCCGTATTATTGAATCTTGATTTTTTTTTTTTCATGGTGAAATTACCATAAGGTAAAAGGTGTTGAGCCAGCCATGTGGTGCAGTGAATAGAGCAGCAGCCCCAAAGTCAGGAGGACTTGAGTTCAAATTCAGCCTCAGACACGTAACTAGCTATGTGTCTTTGTGCAAGTACCTAACCCCAATTGTCTCCCAAAAGAGGAGTCTGGCTTGGAGAATTTTATATAAAATTTGGCTCAGATTTAATTTAAGTAGTTTAAATCAGTTTAATCAGTCCAGACTTTCAAACAACTACAAAAAGTTAGGTGGGATACACAACGTGCTTGTCATCTCACTCCCTGCCAACACATATTCTGGTAGTAATAATTAATGAAATTAGCATTGTTTGCTCCATGGCTGCCTAGATAAATTAGTTACTTATGAATTGAAAATAGCACTATTTGTTGAACTTTGCTAAGTATGATAATGTAAAAAAAAAAACACCATTATTAGAGGAAATTACATGCTATATTTCCTCAAAATGTGTCAAAGATTTTCTGTGGGAGACAAGATTTTTTTTTTCTGTAATTCAATCACAAACTTAATTTTTTTTTCTATTTGCTAAAGATTATTTTTAAAAAAACATTTTAATTAATGAATTTTCATATTACCATACTTCCTAACATCATCCCCTAGAATCATCCTCCCTTATAACAGTGTACAATTGAACAAAACAAACTGCCAGATCAATAGTATCTGACATGGTATGCCGCTTTCTGACCCTGAACTGTGTGACCTCCCTCAGAGTAAGCTGGAGCCCACTTCTACTCGATCTTGAGAGCCACTTGTTAAATTTTCAGTGTACACATTTATACTCTAGGAATTTGCAAATGCTACACATCTGGGCTTGTTTTATTTTGTTGATTGTCTTGGAGAAAGCGTTAGTTGTAAAGAGTCCTGTTTGTTTTAGCCTCAGCTCAGTGCCAATCAGCACCCATAAGCCACTGCCATCTAAATGGAGGTGTCAAACGTATACCAGTATAGTGAACTAGGTTAAAATATACTTGGGAAATATTTAACAAAACTATTCAAAATAGGGGCAGCTAGGTGGCGCAGTGGATAGAGCACCAGCCCTGAAGTCAGGAGGACCTGAGTTCAAATCTGGCCTCAAACCAAACACTTGACACTAGCTGTGTGACCCTGGGCAAGTCATTTAACCCCAATTGCCCCCCCAAAAAACAAAAAAAAACAAAAAAACAATACATTTTTTGGTGATAAGACAGGGATAGTGCCTGGCCCTGTTTTTTTTTCCTCCCCTTGTTACAAGGAATTCCTCGGTAAGAAATCTATCGGTATAGTTGGCACTGTCACTGAAACTCACATTCTTCAAAAATTGCCTCGGGCACTGAGAAGTGACTTTTCTGAGGTCACACAACTAGTATTTATAAGAAATGGGTCTTGAACCTTATTCTCACTGGCTCCAGCTCTCTAGATTCCACACCACACTGTTTCACCTATAATAGTTTAAAAAAAAATAAAAACTAGTGTACTCTATCAAAATAATTTTATTTTCTGCTGTTCGATATACCCTTTAAATGGTATTTTTGAAATGATCTTTTAAATAGTTATTAATACCATGATTTCCCTTTATTATTATTATTTTTTTAATATACTTCTTAAAAACACAGTGCCTAAGAATCCTGGAGACAAAAAGTCTGGCAAACCTGACACATCGCCAGTGGCTTCAAGGGCAGGAACACAGCAGAAGGTACAAGCACAGCCACCAGTACAGCAGCAGCCGCCGCCGCCGCCACATAAAATAAACCCAGGACTGCAGGTTCCTGCTGTTTCTCTCTATCCATCACGAAAAAAAGTACCTGTAAAGGACCTCCCCCCATTTGGTAGGTGATGCATGCCGTGAATTTTTTTTTTTCTTTTTTCATATTCAGTAAATATGCTCTACTATACAGGCATTGGGCAAATTTGTGTATTTCTGAAATTTTAACCTGAATATGATTTCTTAATTGATTTTCAATAATCAGTAGGTTATCCGATCAGATTCTGGGTGTCTTGCATTGTCAGTGGGTGGGAAAAAATCATATGCTTTAAAAATTATATGTGTTGTAGACTTTTCTAAGTATTTACATTTTACTGAGTGCATACTTTGATCATGAACTCATTTGTCTATTTGCAAAGATGCCTGAAGTCAGAGGGGAGTTGAATGTAGTAAAAGTTCCTTATGCCATTATTTAATGTATTGGCCCTAATTTCTTGAGATCAATGGCTTATGGGGTTTAAGGGAGAATATTTTTTAATGCTCAAATACTTTGATTTTGTAGTTGGTGAAATACATTCTCAGCTATTAAGGAGCAAAATTATTACTCAGTTTTTCCATTTGAAAAGTAATTTGTCATTTTTCTCCCCTTCCCAGTCACCCCCTTTCCTACCTCTCTGCCCCAGCCAACCTTCTGTGTGTGATGTGGGTATGTGTTTGTGTGGTTTGGAGAAAAAAATAGAATTAACTTTCTTTTATATAGCAAATATACATTAAACAATATGAAGGTATTACAACTAGAATAACTTTGAAAATACAATAATAGGAAGAAGTTGGGCCTTGCCTATTATGTACATTATAACTCAGCTTTATAGGATCATAGTTTTAGAGCTTGAATGGACCCTAGTACAACTCCATCCTTCTACACATGAGAATATTGAGGCCCACAGAGATGAACTGACTTATCCAGGGTCACAGAGGTAACAAGAAGCAGATCTGAGATTCAAACTCAGGTCTAGTTACTCAAAGTTCAATCTTCTTTTCACTGTTTCCTTTTTAATACACAGACACATGCGTCTGTTTTTGTTCAATGAAAACTTGGCTTTAATCCTTTTTTTTTTTTTTTTGGTATATTTTTTCACATCTCATTTCTTCTATACATTCTAGATCCCATCTCTTCTAACTTTCTAAGGGATCCTCTCTCCAAAATTTATATACTCCCATTCTAAGATCTTTATTCATTGGCTTCCTTTTTCCCCTCAATAATTAGAAAAGTTTCTTGGGGGTGGGGAAGAAAAACCTTCCTTTGAACCTACCACCCCTTCTAACCACTTCCTCATTTCTTCTAAAGTTTCTTAAAATGAGTAGTTCAAAGCCTCACCTTCTTTATCACTCACTCATTTATTCTTTAAGCCTTCATCTGGCCTCCTTTTCTTCCATTTCACTGAAACTGCTCTTTAGAAGAATGCACTGACCTTCTAGCTAAATCTCAGGCATGATGGACACTTAATCCTTATTCAGCTTTTCTCTGTTCATCACCCCTTTCCTCTTGAAATTTTCCTTTCCTATCATGACATTCTCCTAGTTCTTCCTCACCCCTTTGCCTGGTCGGTTGTCTCACCTTCTTACTGCCCCTAACTCCGTGGGTTGACCTCTGATTTCATCAGTGAAGAGTTATCCCTGTTTGGGAAACTCCTTCTATCTATGTATATCAACAACTGTCCTGTAATTTATAGGCTTAGTGAGTTTCTTGGGACACCAAGAGTTTTAGATGTTTGTCTGTGTTTACATGCCCCATATGTTACACACAGGACTTGAACCCAGGTCTTCCTAACTTGCTGCCATTGTTCCAAGCCACTTTTATAATATCTTGTAAATCAACAAATCCTGGCAATTTTTTTCCTTTGTACTAGTTCTTAGATTTACCCTTCCCACTTCATTTTAGTCCATCAGTAATAATCATTTACTAAGCATCCACTGTGTTCCTCTGTTGCTGAATCAAGTCCCAATTCTTAAACCTAGTATTCAAGGTCTTAGATAAATTTGTCCTATTGTATACTTTACCTTTTAACTGTTTAACTTTTTTCCAGACAAGCTTGTTTGTTTTGTTTTTTTTGTTTGTTTTTTTACTCCCCTTCACAGATGACAAATCTCTTTCCTTCACTGTACATTTAAAGGAAGAGTCAAATTTGGAGTGGTATTATGAAGTGGGGAGGGCATTCCAAGAGAGAGAATGATATAGAGACAAAGACAAATGTACCATATAAATTGGTACTGCTGCTTCTACTTTTGTCTTTGCCATTCATAAGGTTGCACTAGATTTGGAGTTAAGATTTGAACTCAAATTCCACCTTTGACATTATTAAATGTCAAATGTGCAAGTTCTTTAACCTCTGTAAGTCTCAGTCTCCACATCTGTAAAATGGGAATAGTAATACTTTTTTTTTTCCTTTTTGCTGAGGTAGTCAGGGTTAAGTGACTTGTACAGGGTCACACAGCTAATAAGTGTCAAGTGTCTGAGGCTGGATTTGAGCTCAGGTCCTCATAACTCGAAAGCCAGAGCTCTATCCACTGAACCACCTACCTGCCCCAGAGCAATACTTTTAAAACTACCTCAAAGGCTCAAATGAAGCCATGTGTGTAAAGCGTTGTACACATTTTGAAGTGCGGTCTGGAACAGAAAGGCATTTATAGATAGATAAAGCATTCATTAAACATTTACTGTGTGCCAGGAAGATATTGATTATTCATACAGTTACTGTGTGCCAAGAATTTTACTAAGCACTGGGGATATAAAAATAAAAAAGCAAGATGGTCCCTGCCTGCAAGGAGTTTATGTTCTAATAGGGAAGCTAACATACATAAGAGACTGATGGCCAGAAAGAGTATTTTGGTAGTGTAAATTGAGTACTGTTCTTAGAGCTTAAGAAGGAAAACAGGTTGGAAGGTGTAGTGAAGGATGTTTACCAGGCAGCATGCCATGAATGTGCCCAGAGAGATGTGTTTGCATCCAGGTGAATGCTTATCACTCAGAAGCCCAGAGTCCCAAGGTGGGAGCTTGACCAAGGAGTTGCCTGTCATTATCTTCATCATTGTAGAGGCTTTTGACTAGCATTTGTTGGCTTATGGGCTGTGTGCTTTGGCATTGGCCACTGGTTTTGGAAGTGATACAGCAACTTTGGAACTACACTTAGATTTTATGAACTACTTTCAGAACTTGGGAAAATTAAGTTTAAACTATTTCATTTGAAGAGGCCATTTTAAGCATTACACATAAATGGTGTTAAACAAGTGAAAATAGTCTTTTTAAAAAAAAACTTTTTAAAAATTGGAATTATGCACTTAACATAGTCCTAACTTAAGTTTGCTTTTCTTTGTCTTGTAGGTATCAACTCTCCACAAGCTTTAAAGAAAATTCTTTCTTTATCAGAAGAAGGAAGTTTGGAACGTCACAAGAAACAAGCAGATGATACGATATCAAATGCATCTTCACAACTCTCTTCTCCTCCAACATCTCCACAAAGCTCTCCGAGGAAAGGTAGAATTCAATTATGAATGAGTTTTTTGTTGTGGTGGTGTTCAACAAATGCTGCACATTTCAGATGTTGAGTTATAATTTGAATTTTTTAGAAGTTGTACAGTGTAAGATTATTGTACTGTAAGATTATTCTTCAGTAATTTGGCTACAATGTCTGGTTGATTTCTACCCCCTCCCCCAGGTTATTATATTAAGAAGAACTTAAAGCATGTGGTTTTTGGTTTTTGTTTGGTTTGTTTTGTTTGAGAATATACCAACACTGCACTTTTTTAGGGTCTTACTTGGATTTCAATATATGACAAATTTCATTTTCTCAGAAACAGACAATTAATTTGGATTAATAAACATTTCATGAGGAAGAATGGTTTAAAGAACAAATGTTTCACATATCTCCTGGTTTCCTTTTTCATCATATTAACTCAGGTCTTGATTTTTTTTTTGAGGAGACAGAATATCTTTGATAATTTGAAATTATCGTATAATAGACTAGCAAGTAATCCTTTTTTTTTTTTCCAGTTAACCCCCAAGGGCACTTTCTCCTCCTACATTTTTCAAAATGATATGGACATTAAACTAAAACCTCAACTTGTTTGTCACCTTTAGAAAGGGAAAACAAGTAAAATAAAACCTAGCATTCATTTCACTGAAATGACACATGCCTGATGGTGCTTGGATGTCAAGAAGTTAAACCATCTGCGCATTTTTGCACAGGTTATCAATCTCTAGTGTCTCTATCAAATAGGTGTCTAAACTCTCTTCTCATCCTGTTGTTAGGTGGCAGTGGCAATCAGCTGAGATCTTATGGCTCCAGACAGTCGGACCTAACCAGTTCCTCCTCTTCTCTTGGAAGTGAGAACAGTAACAAGAATAACAATGCACCACGGACCTATGGGATAGGTGGGGTTAATAGAACCAAAAGTGGGGTGGGAATAACAGGAATCATCTCACAAAATTGGATAGCAATTTTAAAGAGAATGGGGCAGTTCTTTCAAATGGCCAGTGCTCTCTGTAATTAAATTTTTTCTAGGGTTTTTTTTTTCTTGTTTCAATTTTTTTTCTTTTTTGAGGAGAATATACCATGAAGGCTTTCAAAATTTAGACCAAGTCTGAGATCTCAGTATAATTGTATTTAGTGAGCATTTTAGGAATTGAGTCATTGTTTTAAACTTATCAAGACCTGTGCTTTTTTTGAAAAAGGAATCTGGAAGTCTAAATTTAATAAATAGATGGGAAAACAATGTTTTGAAGAGATAGAGGCAACATGGTATAATATAATAATAATCATTGACCTCAAATGACTTGAGTTATAATCCTAGCTCTGCCGCTTACTTTGCCATGTTGACCCTGGCCAAATCACTTGATCTTTTTGAGCCTCAGTTTTCTCATCCATAAAATGGACATAATAACTGTCTAAGGATTTGGGGTGGTGGTGGTGAGGCAAGTACTTTGTAAGTAGAAATTGTTATTATAGTGCCTACAAAACTAGTATTTTTAACTATTTAGTGACAAATTTTTCACTTACTGTGTATATTTGTATTATTCATATACATCTTATGAAGCTAGAAAGTTAAGCAGCATTAAGCTTATCATTGGAAAACATCAATAACATGTGAAAGAAGTCAAAGCTATCTTCTGACTAGAAGAAGTTAGGAGCTCTTCATTAAAAGACCATTCATAGCTTTACTCTTGCTGGCATTTAAAATGCTTTTTGGCAACTCAGTAGGAGTGACAGGACAAATGATGACATGAATTGGGTATTTGCTGAAGAGTTTTTATAAAGGATGCTGTGTGCATCCAGCACTACCCTTAATTCAGAGCATCTTTATATAATCCACTTCCTATTAATATAGGACAGATGTAGATGATAGTCCTGAAGAGTCAGAAGCAAATGATGACAACATATCAAGATCAATTTCCTAGAAGGGAAAAAAAGCAACTTGAGAAGAAAAGTGACCTTAAGTCAAAAATCTAAGTTTGCCTGTTTGAGTCACAGTTGATAAAATATTGGGAATTACTTTTGGAATTTGGGCACGCTAGAAATGTGAGAGCTATTATTGACCAGAACGACCCTGAAGGATTGTGGTCAAAGACTGGCCACAATAACACTTCTCACCTTGCTCTCTAGTATTATTAACCTCTGTAGATTGGACATTCAAAAGAAGGAATTTGGACCTGATCTGATGCTTTGCTCTATACTGTCTAGATACAGACAAATAATGTTCAAATGTCACAGGTTTATTTTCAAATAGGTTAAATACAATTTTAATGCTTTTCTCGCTTTCCTTCTCATTGCAGTACAAGTATATATCCTCTAGTACTATATGTTAATTTTTTTTTGCTTACCATATTTCCATACTTTGGAAAATTGGACATTTATTAACTATCCTATAGCTCTTATACAATATACACAGAGAAGAGCATACCTGAAAATTGAATTATTGCATGCCACATCAAAAGTTCTAAAGATTAAAAAATGACCTGAGTGGAAAATTGGAAAATGATTTTTTTAAGAAAAGACAAAAATCACAAGATATTTAAATTTCACAAACATTTTATGTAATAGCTAACCCTATTTATGTTTTCTAAGTTAAGCAATTTGAAATAATCAATTATTCTGTTTCTCAAAAGCCCACTGATAAGCATATTTTATAGCTGAAGAAATCAAGGCATTATAAGTCATTGGTGAAGCTCAGATTCCATTGCAGGTTCATAGCTCAATTTTAAATAGTGCTTTCCTGAATCCTTCATTGAGGAAGTCAGCCTACATTTGACCTCTTTGTCACTTTCTCTCGATGCTTAAAACGTGTTACTTTTTTTTCTTCCGTTCACTGGTGTTGTTTTTCAATTTCTTTCCTTACATTTGGTGTTAGAATTCGGGTTATTTTCTTATGCTTGTAGTCACAGATGAATGTGATTCTCTTTCCTATGCAGGTTATACTTTGGCTCCAAGTGGCACTGTGGATAATTTTTCAGATTCTGGTCACAGTGAAATCTCTTCCCGATCTAGTATTGTCAGCAATTCTTCCTTTGACTCAATGCCAGTGTCACTGCATGATGAGAGGAGACAGCGGCATTCTGTTAGCATTGTGGAAACTAATCTAGGTATGGGCAGAATGGAGAGGCGAACTCTGCTTGATCCAGATCAATATAGCTTAGGGTAAGAATCTTTCTATGCTTTCATTTTTTGGGTTTTTTTTTATGCTTACATTTAAAAATTGTTTTTAAAGTTTTCTTTTCAAACTTTATGGATTTTTTCTCAACTTAAAACAGATTCTCTTTTTTCCTCCCAGAAGCTCACTTCCGTTCTTCCAAGGTCTAATGAATCCATGTGTTCATTGATACTCACATCACTGATACCAATAGCAACTCTTTCATGCCTTCTCATTGTGTGCAATTCTTAACCATGTCTTTTTAGAAGTCTTCTAAAAGGATCCACACAACATACTTAGAACCCTTAGCTTCTTTTAATTGGCACTGAGGTACCAATGCCTGGCACATAATAGGTGCTTAATAAATGCTTATTGACTGACTTATTGGCTCAGACTATCCATCTCTAACCATCTGTCATATAATTCTTGTTAAGAGACCATCCAACTTCCTTTTCCATTTATACACTTTTTCAGCTGCTTTTTTTTAATAACACTTCTTGCTTAGGAATCAGTAATACTCAGTGCAATCTACTTATACCCACTATGCATTTTTATCATTTTCCTTTGTAATATAATTTTCCTTCTTCAGAGATCATGGTATTTTAGGTAAGGTCCCAGAGGGGAGGGGCCAGTTTGGTGTTTTTTTGGTTTGTGTATCCACAGTAGATAGCACACTGCCTTGCACATAAAATAAATCTAATAAATGCTTGTGGAATTGAAATAGATCTTGATGTTAAAGAGATGGGTTTTTGCAATCACGAGCAGTCTGATATCATTGAGATCACTGTGCAGTTTTCTCTCAATTTAGTCCTTTATCTTCCTCCTTCAATTCAAAATGCTGTTTCTAACTTAGTCAGTCTTATTCAGACTTATAATCTTCTGAAATTCCTGTTCAAAATATAGACAGAAGCGGAGTAATTTGACAAGCAGCCTATTTTGCTGCATGTCATAGTCTAGGAAAGATTTGTTTTTCATTCACTTTGTTTTTCCAATGTGGATGGTTAGAACAATCTCACAGTATATGTGCTGGGAATATCTTCCTCTTCCCAAATTCCCATGCCATTCTAGAATACCTAGAAGAAGTTCTACCCCAGGCCATTTTTGTTGTCTTTTTAATAAGTTTCAAAGTCATGTTGAAGCTCATTTTTCCTGCTAGGTGTGTGTAACTTTAGAATCTATCTCAATGCTTTTTAATGAAATTGTTTCCGTAACCAGTCAGTCAGTGTATTAAGGCTACCATTGGCCTTGTGAGGCTAATCTTTAGCTGGAATGAGTACAGTCATTCCTTATAATTTTTTTTAATTTCATGGTATTAACAATAGGGAGAAAAAGCACATTAAACTTAATAATAAATTTTTCCCCTGGTGTTGTGGTGGGTAGTTAAGCTATCTTCGCTTTTCTTGACTTTTTCTCCCTACTATCCCACTCCCCCTAAAAAGAGATTTTTTATTGAGGATTTTTAAAATTTGTGATACTAGTAATATTTTTCTCCATTTTTGCTATTATGCATTCAGGTCCTATGCACCAGTGTCAGAGACTCGAGGTTTATATGCTGGGGCTACAGTGATTTCTTCCCCAAGTACTGAAGAACTTTCACAGGACCAGGGGGACAGAGCTTCACTGGATGCAGCAGACAGTGGCCGTGGAAGCTGGACTTCTTGCTCAAGTGGTTCCCATGATAATATACAAACTATACCGCACCAGAGAAGCTGGGAGACGCTTCCTTTTGGGCATGCTCATTTTGATAATGCAGGGGATGGTGCAGCCTTGTGGGCCTCCAGCAGCCCTATGGACCCAGTCATGTTTCCTGATCATAGCACAAAGTACAACAGACAGAATCAAAGTCGAGAGAGTCTTGACCAAGCCCAGTCAAGGGCAAGCTGGGCATCCTCAACTGGATACTGGGGAGAAGACTCGGAGGGTGACACAGGCACCATCAAACGAAGGGGTGGGAAAGATGTTTCTATTGAAGCGGAGACAAGTAGCATAACATCTGTCACTACAGAAGAGACAAAACCTGTTCCTATGCCTGCTCACATATCTGTGACATCAAGTACTGCTGCAAAGGGTCTTATTGGTAAGTTGGAATTGCATCTGATTGTCTATGTCCAGAATTGTACCTTCACTTAGAGGATTGTGCCACTTTCAGAACTACAGCATTATCAAATTGCCTTATAATTGAAATGGGTCCCATGCAGCGGTTTGAGATCTTCATGTGATTTAGTAGTGGTTCAAAAGTCGACTGTTAAAAGCCCTGTCCCTATTGATAAGCCAAGATGACTAGACTAGAAAAATCATGTTGGATTTTCAATGGTGCAGGGGTTTTAACATTTTAAGAAAGTCTCTAAACTGCTATATTTGGGTTCGTGTAAATATTATTAGCACTTTGCAGTATACATCTTAGAGAAATTTTATGTTTGTATCTAGGCAAAGGAATTTTTGTCAGGTTTTTTTTTTCTTTAATGGGGGAAAAAAATTTCTTCACCACTGTCCAGTATTGTTCTGTGTCCATGATCTCAACCTCTGAAATTCACTTCTCATCATAATCTCCTATCCTTCTGCTAAGGATTCTGACTTTAAATTTGCTTTTTATTCCCAATGTGATCAGCTATCCTTGTTCTTCCGGTCAATTACTGTTATTCTGACTTCATTTTCCTTTCTTCATAGTTGATGATTTAAAGTTAACCAGTTCAACAAGACAGTCTTCTATGCTTGAATCTTTTGCTCTCTTGCCCTTCCACTAGTCATACTAGTCCCACATCTCTGTTATCTTCCCACCACCCCAAAGACCCATCTTATGAGCTCTTGGAGGACGTCAGCAACGGGGCCCAATACATAGTAATGTTATTAGGCTTCAGATAGGACCTGACAGTTCTTTTATTCATTTCTGGTGGCTTTCTGTCATACTCTGTATAAATGCATGCTCCCAAGTTTTTTCCTCAAGCTCCCATTTTTTTTTCACCAGATGACCTGGCTTTCCATTTTACCAAAACAAAACAAAATTGTTCCATACCTGGAATTATAGAACTTTACCTATTCTCTCTTCTTTTGTTGTAGTTCATGTGGATGAAGTATCTCATCATCTTGCTGTTTTATCCTTAATTGTATCCCCTCCCTTTTCTTTCAGGGATTATTATCTCTCTTATCTTTCCTGTCCCTTTGTGTCCTTATTTCTTCACTGATGCCTGCAAAAAACAAAATGCTTACATTTCTCCTATCCTTAAAAAACCTATTTTTGACCTTCTCATCTAAAGACTTTGTCTTGAATCTATCTGTCTTTCACTATACTAAAATTATAGAAGGAATGGCGTGTACTCACTGCTTGCATTTTCTTACCACCCACTACATCCTCAGCCCCTTGAAATGTGGCATACCAACCCATCATTCCAATCAAACCACTCCTTCAGTTCTTTATCCAGTTCTTTTTTCTCAGTTCTTGTCCTCCTTGACTGTAGTTTTTGTCGCTCTAGTCAAATGAAGCTAGCTAGTTTGCATGAAACCTGCACAGGAAATTTTCTCCCCGGAAGTCAGCAACTCACCCGTAATTTAACAAGTGACTTGGCCATGGGCATAAACTAACAAGGCTCAGAAGAAGGGTTTGAACCCAGGACCCCTCCTTGAGTTCTTCCAACCCTCGGCAGCTGAAAGTGATTTTCTTCTCTTCTCATACATTATTCAGCCCTTTATGCAGATTTCTGCTTTACTCCCACCACTTTTTGTCTCTTCTGTTTTTCCTGTCTGTGGACATGTAGCATGTAAACTCCTTCCAGCAAGGACCGTCTCGTTTTTACTTTTACATTCCCAGTTCCATGTACACTGTCTAACTTGTAGTGGGCGCTTAATAAATGTTTGTTTAATTGAAATGAACCAATCTCGTGGACCTTGGTACCGATGGCACCTATGGTGTATAGTTTCTGTGGGAAACTCAGTGCATGTGTTATTAAAATGTGAATGTAGACATAGAATCAGGATCTCTGAATATCGTCATCTTACATGTCTCTCCCCTCAGCAAAGAAATTATATTTCTTTTGTCCTTCAAAAGATTAGAATTGTTTATCAAATTTGTATCCTGTAAAGTCGAATAGTGGACACTTAATACATTCTAATGTTTTTTCTGAAAGCTATGGGAAAAAAAGGGAAAGAATCAATGAAAAATATTTATTAAACATTCACCATGTGCCTAGCACTGTCCTGAGCACTGAAGTTACAAATACTGAAAGCAAGCCAGTCCTCTCCTCAAGGTGCTTACTTTTGTATAGGGGAGAGAACACATAGGTTCGACAAGAAAAGGGAGTATGCTCCGAACAGTGACAAAGATGGTAAGTAGAATGATAGGACAGTCCATTAAGAATGGAGTTTAAAGAAGTGTCAACATTTTTTTTTCCTTTTTTTTTTTTTAGGCAATTGGGGTTAAGTGACTTGCCCAGGGTCACAGAGCTAATAAGTTGACAGTGTTTGGTCTGAGGCCAGATGTGAACTCAGGTCCTCCTGACTTCAGGGCCGGTGCTCCTGCACCACTTAGCTGCCCCAAGTGTCAACATTTTTGAGTATGGCTGAACCAGATTAAAATGGAATTGGGAAATATTTAACAAAATAAATAAAAATACAATAGAACATAAAGTGGTGTTAATAAGTGGTTTTCTAAGTCAAAAGCCTGCAAGGATCCTTATATACAGTTTAGTGGTCCCTGTTTCTATTTGAATTTGACAACACTGCTTTAAAGGAAATAGTAAAATAGAAAATCAAAACCTTTTTCTTTAGCTATGTGTACATATGTCAGTTTATTATTCAAGAAATGATACTGAAGGGATTTGGTTGGAAGAAAATTCTTATCTAACTTTTCTTTAATTGGCATGCTTTTTTAAAAAATCAGTTTTGTGTAATTTGCTGTTGAATTCTCTAGTTTGCTTTTTTTGGGTCCTAATTCATTGTTTCTCATAGTGAAGTCTTAGAGCTCTAATTATAACATGGATTCATTCCTTATGGAAACTTTAGGGCAAGGGCCTTTTCTTTGTGATGGATGTCTTTGGCAGTCTGGTGAAGCCTATAACACCCTCCCAGATGAATGTATTTAAATGCACATAACATAAAATGTACAATATTATGAAGGAAACCAATTATATGAAATAATGATTGTAAAAATAATTAACAAATTTGCAGACCCCTTTGTTAAAGTCCTGCAATAAATTCTTCTGAATTAATCATTGAATCCTAGAATCTTAGCATGGAGGTAAGGTAAAAAGGAGCCCTTCCTTTTTTCTTTCCTAGAAGGTGTGACTCAATTTTTACTAGTGTATGGTGGGTAGTCATCTCCATTTCAGTGAAAAATGAGGAATTATGGCCCTCTCTTCTCCCCATGTTTATGTTTTTAGTTTCCCCCAGTTCCCATGCTATGTCAGAATGAGAAAAACTAAGTTGTCTTGCTGTACTCAAAAAGCCAACAATGTAATCATAAGCTTTTGCCCTGCCCTCAAGGTCAACTGAAAACCCAAACTGGCTACCCCCATTTTTCCTTGACGTTTACTACATATACATTGGTGGAGTTGGAAAGGATGTCAGAAGTCATCTGGTCCAACCCTTATCTGAAGCATGTATCCCCTTTATCCTTCTTGATAAATGGTCTTCCAGTTTCCACATAAATACTTTTATTGACAGGAACTCAAGTGCTTCCATTTTTGAATAACAAACAGAATAAGTTTAAATTGGGGTGGGGAAAGAAGAAAAGTAGAATTGTATCTAAGTTGGTTTCCTTGTATTTTATGCTTTAAAAATGTTATTCTTAGAAGAGGCCAAAAGACCTCACCACTGTACTATGTACTATGTACTAAAAAGGTTCAAAGGGCCTCTGTTCTAAACCTTCTTTCTTATAATATCTCTTTCAAATATTTGAAGACAAGGATTATGTCCCCTCTAAGACTTTCCTTCTCAGATTGAGATGAAAGTCGTTCCATTTTCTCCATCAGAGATTATACCTGACCCTCATATACCAGACATATTCCATGTGATTCTTGAAGCCATGGCAGAGTTTGAGGGTACTGAGCAGTCAGAGTCATGCCTATAGAGCCAATATTGGAGGTCCCTTGGAGAAGCTCCATTTGGATCTATAGCAGGAACAGGAATCCTTAACTTTTTTTGTATTGTGGTCTCCGTTGGCCTTCTGGCCAAGTCTGTGAACCCCTTCTCAGAACAGTGTTTTTAAATGCATGAAATAAAATATGTAGGATTGCAAAAGATACCAGGTGTATTGAAATTTGGTTATATATGCATATACATGTGTGTGTAAGTAAAACAACTAAGTTTATGAACCCCCTTAAATCTTTCCATGGATCCTAGATACATGAAAACTTTTGGTCAATAGGCTGTAAAAGAAAGTTCCCCACTTCTCCCCTCCCCCTCAGAAAAACATCCTTACTACCACTGGAGTCAATTCACAAAACCAGTCCTAAGGATTTTATTTTGAACTCATCTCCCATCGTCTCTCTAGGAGCTTACATTTCCCAAAACAGATCAAAGTCTAAAAATCTATCTAAGGCCGACTTTATGTTTCCTTTTCCATCTGAAGTTGAACTTGAGTCTGACTGATTGAGGGGGATCTGCTTTCTGATTGCCAAATCCTATTTTCTCATAATGGTACATTGTTTTAACTACAGCACGAAAGGAAGGCAGGTATCGAGAGCCACCACCGACCCCTCCAGGCTATGTAGGAATCCCCATCACTGATTTCCCAGAAGGACATTCACATCCAGCCAGCAGGAAACCTCCAGACTACAATGTCGCACTCCAGAGGTCTCGAATGGTGGCCCGGACGTGTGATACACCTGGGCCCTCCACATTACAGCAACCGCACAGTCATCCAACAAACCGGCCTGTGAACAAACCTCAGTGGCATAAACCAAATGAGTCAGACCCACGCCTGGCTTCCTATCAGCCTCAAGGGTTTTCCACAGAGGAGGATGGTAATTTAATTATAATCATTTACATTTACATAGCACAGGAGATTTACAAAGCACTTTATAATTTTAAAACCTTGAAGATATTGATATTATGTGTATACACATGTGTGTTTAAATGTGTATATACATGTGTGTGGGGGGAGCAGGCAGCATGATCTTTTTTAAGAATTTTATAGCAAAGTAGATGAAAATGCCAGTCAGATGATGATTGGGACAGCACAGGACAGGCCTGGGCGGTGAATCTCTCATATCATATACTAACTAATATTTCCAGAGATATGAGCTTGTTGATTGCTCTGGTTTTTGTTCCCTTTCCTTCTCTGGCTGTTTTTTTTTTTCCATTAATGCTGAACAGATATCATAATTGGTAGTGCCCAAAAGTTATCTTAAGACTTCAATAGTCACTATATGCATGATTGGTTTCCTTGCATAACGCTCAAAAAAAAAAGGACTTCCTGTCTGTCCACTGGAACTGAGAAACTTTTACAAGGAAGATGTGATGTTCTTGAGGTGAGGAGGAAGAAGGGAGAGGTGTTGAGGTTGGATGGGTTAGGAAATCAAAAGGCCTTCATCTGATCAGCCTCTGGCTTTTACAGTTTAATATATTTTCCACTTCCTCCCTTGAATAAACAGAAATAATTCTGACTATTCTCATACAAATGAAGTAGACAAACTGAAGGAATTATCTAAATAATTTAGGCTTCAAAATATTGAACTTCATTTGTCTAAATCCACTACCTCATTCTGTGTAGAGCTGGCTACTGCTAGTTTAGAAAAAAGTTTTCAAAAATAATCTCTGCATTTCATTGGCTACTGAAAATTCTAGATGAAAAAACTTCCACAGTTAGTAACTCACAGCTTTAGCCTTACCTGTGTCCTGAATCTTTAGCAGAACTTTAGGAATATTTCCATTTGTCAAATAATAATGGACATCTGAGGTCCCTCTGTGGAAGTAATCTGTTTTCATTGACCACATTTCATGAGGGTCTGATGAATAAATGTAAAACCTCATAGACTGACAGATGGTAACATGTTTAGCAGTAACTGTAATGAAATCCTTGGCTTCCTCTCTGGGGATTTCAGAGATTAGTGAACTTTGACATGCTGGGATAGAAATGTTGGGCAGGGAGAGGACTTGGAACTGTTTTTGAAAACCTCCTCTCCTTTAGCTCTTTCACATCCTAGTTCAGAGGAAAGACACAGGAGCTCTGAGGTTAGCATTAACTATACAGAAAGAGCGAGGAAGCTGGAGGCAGAAGATCTGGGTCCCGATCTCACCCACCACTGTCACTACCCCCGTGACCTTGGGCAGGTTCCTCATCCGTGAAATAAGGGCTTTGTACTAAATAAGCGCTCTGAGCCTTTCCAGTTCTAAACTGGTGATGCTCTGATCAGTGGATATGGAGATTACTTTACATTGCATATATGGGAAGTAATTTTATATTGAACAAATGGTGACTGTTGCATTGGCACCTAATTGCGCTGTAAATGTTTGTTGAGCTAAATTGAAAATTTTCCTTTGTTGATTTTCCTTTTTTTTTTTCCCTCCCACCTGTTTTGTGTTTACAGAAGATGAGCAAGTCTCTGCTGTCTGAGAATTGGGGCTTTCCTGGATCCAGAGTGAGCCACCTAAAAAAGGAGAGCACAAGAAGATGTCCCTAGTGTAGGAGCCTTGGAACTCCAATCCAAAGGATGGTGGACCGATTTGCCTCCTTCCCTGCCTTAAAGCAGCATGGGGCTTCTTCTCTCCCTTCTTCCCCATCCCTCTTGCATGTGAAATACTGTGAAGAAATTGCCCTGGCACTTTTCAAACTGTGTTGCTTCAAATGCCCAGTGCAGCCTTCTCCAAGCCTCCCACCATCACTGTCTACCACCTCATGCGATACCATTCCAAATTCCAAGATCTTCACGGAATCCAGGTGATTCACTCGGGCTGCACTTCTTGATGCCCAGAAGGGGTGTTTTGTTTTGTTTTGTTTTTAAACCTTCCTTTGAGATTTTAATCAAAATCCTAGCACTTGGTCTCATTGGGGGTAATGAGATAAGCCAGCCATTGAAACGATTTGGGGCCTTTAACCTACCAAGGAAGAAAAGCAAAAACATGATGAAATACTCTTAAGTTCAGTGCTCGTTTGCTTGTTTACAATGCCTATTTTTGTTATGGTTTCTAAACATTGTGTTGCGAGAGTAAATGTTATTACATATGTGTAAGAATTACAGTATTATTTTGTACCTTTTTAAAGTAGAGTTGCCAGCCTGGGTTTTCTAAAACCAAATAAACCAGACATGGTGTAGCTATACAGAGAAGCATAGGAGACCCAGCTAGGAGATGCTGTCTCTCTTTGCCCTGGTAACCTGCCCCAGGAAATGCCCCATCCTGGACGCATGAAATTTTAGCCAGTCATTAAATTACCAAGATTCCTCCCCACCCCTCACTCTCTTCCCCCATGGGCAGGGCCTTTATGCAGTAAGCATTTGCACGTATCCAGTAGAGGGAAATAGGACTTTCTGTGTCCTGTGTCTGAGCCTTGTGGAGCCCAGGAGAACTTTCCTTTACAAGGAAGATCCTGCTTCAGGAAGATGGATGGCAACCCCACCTTTTAAGTTATATTTCTTTGACCTTTTTGTTGTTGTTGTTGTTGTTGTTGTTTTTGTTAATTTAGAGATTTAGTTATTTTCAGAAAAAAGTGATAACTGGATAATGTTGCAGTAAAAGCAGCTTGGGATGTCATGGCTTGATGCCAGCTGTTTGAACTGCTTTCTGAGTCAGTCTCCCTCTTTTGGCTTGGTATTAAGGAATCAACAAGCCTATTAAGTGATCAAAGATAAACAACCTGGTTAGATATGCCTGCCTTTGCAATACAGACTCCTCACTGAAAGATGAGACTGTTCAGTGGCTTTAGAAACACTGCATGTGTAGAGAAAGGCCTCCGTGTAGCAACCACCTGCTCACAGCTGCTATTAACCCCATGACTGAAATGACCCCTCCACTCTATTTTTGTGTTGTTTTTGCACAGACTCCGGAAAAAAGTGAAGGCTGCCAATCCGAGTAGTACTCAAATGTGAGGAACTGCTGGTCTTGGATTTTTTTTTTCCATTAAACTCAGCTGATCATATTGATCAGTAGATAAAACGTAAATAGCTTCAACTTTTAAAGTCAAATTGCAGTGATTTTTCACTGTATGAAACAATGTCAGTGCTTTATTTAATAATCCTCTCCTGTAATCATGGCTTTTGTCTACTTGCTTATATATCATATTGTCAATTATGCATTTGTAATTTTACATATAATATGCATTCTTTGCCGGTTTTATTATATAGGCTATGGACCTCATGTGCATATAGGAAGACAGAAATCTAGCTCTATCACAAGTTGCACAGATGTTATATAAGCATTAAGTAATTGTAGAACCTAGGACGGCTAAATTCAAGTTCACTCTGTGATGTCCAGTGCAGAATGTACAATTAATTAACTGGTGATTTCCTCATACTTTTGATACTACTTGTACCTGTATGTCTTTTAGAAAGACATTGGTGGAGTCTGTATCCCTTTTGTATTTTTAATACAATAATTGTACATATTGGTTATATTTTTGTTGAAAATGGTAGAAATGTACTATGTTTATGCTTCTACATCCAGTTTGTACAAAGCTGGAAAATAAATAAATATAACAGAAGGCATTGTCTCTATCCTTAATGTGTCTTGGTGCATTATTGAAGTAATGATAAAAAGACTTTCCAACCTCACTCACCATGGAAGCAACGGTTAGGCATATGAAAGTAATACAGCCTTCCCATTGTGGGGGAATATCAGCCTCTTGGTCTTTTTTTAATGCAACTATCACCTTAAGAAAATTAATTTCAGTTTCATAGAATTGTAGAATCTCAGAGGTTACACATTGTATTCCATACCTTCGCCGGAATCCCCTCAACAACATCCCTGACAAGCAAGTTCTCATCTGGCCTCCATTTGGAGACAAGCAACTACCTATGGGGACAGCCCATCCTGTTTTCAAAGAATTTTATAATAATTACAAAACGTTTCCTCATCTTGAACCAAAACTTAAGCTCTTTGCAACTTCATTTACTCTGGCCCTCCAGATATTTGAAGATAGTGAATTCTTCTCTTATTTGGATTGACATCCAAATTCCCTAGGTCTTTTTTTAATTTTCAATTCATGGAATAAAACGAGCATTTCTATAATGTAGTATAGTAAAAAAATGCACATGAAACTACAAATCTATTATGTACAACTTGCTATTTCTTTTAAATATATAATAAAGTTATCAAGTAACTTTCTTTTTTTTTCCACCACATCCTTGGGTGAAATGGTTTCCAGTACCTGCACCATCCTAATAGCCCCTTTCTAAATGTGGTCCATTTTGCCAATGTTTCTCCTATAATGTGGTGGTGCCTTTGAAAATAAGGACATTATTAGCATGTCCTATCTTCTGGCACATCCCCCAGCATCACAGAGTTTAAAATTTTGAAGGTAGAATCCAGAGACTATTCAGTGCTGCTTAGTTCAACCCTCCCTTACCTGAATAAAAATCCTCAATGCCACTAAGTGGTCTCCCAACCTTTGCTTGAAAACTGCCAATGAAGGAAGGCCACACTACCTCTAGAAGTAACCTGTCTACTTTTGGATGATGCTGTTTTTCTTTATATTTACACCTAAACCTGTCTGCAGCTTCTGCCCCATTGCTTTTAGTTGGGCCAACTTGAGCCACACAGAAGAATTTTAATCCATCTTCCACAGGAGCACCTTTCAAATGCTTAAAAATAATATGGTGCCAGTTGACTGGCCAGAACCTAGAACTTTGCTGATACTCTTTTCTAAACCATTTAATGCTGTTAGGGTTGGTAGCTGACTGCAAACGAATGGGTCAGTAACCTGGACGTGATATCTGTGATCGATCTAAGCTTCACAACTGGATATTATAATCTCTTATCAAAACTCCAGTCCTATATCAGCAACTGCTTTTTGGATATCTCAAATTGAATGTCTCATAGGCTTAAAATCAACATGTACGTGTGTGTGTGTGTGTGTGTGTGTGTGTGTGTGTGTGTGTGTTATATCCCCTTCTCTCCACTCCCTCAGCCATAATCCTGATCAATCCTAATTCAAGTCTTCATCATCTGTCATCCGAACCATTCCAACAATCTTCTAATGATTCTCCATCTTCTACTCAGCTGCCAAAGTAATTTCCTAAAGTGCAAGGCTGACCATATTCTCTCTCACACCCCACCGCCAAAATACCCACCCTACACAATTAACTCTAGTGCACTTTATTATTTTCAGAATTAATTATAAATTCATGTAGTGTTTAAAGCCTGGCACATTCCTGCCTTCTCAGCCTCCTTACATCCTACTTCCTTCCACTCACACTCTGATCCGGTTACACCTTCCTACTTGGTGTACTTCATACAAGACAATTATTCTCCCATCTCTGTGCCTTTAAAAAATTTTTTTATTTATTGTATTATATTTATATATACTATTTATTATATTACATTGTATTTTATTATATATTATATAAATATATAATTATTTTATTATATTGTTTTATAATGTTTATTATATTATTGTTTATAAATTTTAATTTATGGAATAGGACAAGCATTTCCATAACAGTATAATTTTTTAAAAAAGGATAATTGCACACAAAACTACAACTCTAGTATGTACAACTTGTTATTCCTTTTAAATATATAATAAAATTATGTAAATTTCTTTTTTTTCTTTCCTCCCCCCCCATGGCTAGCATTGGACATATGTACATATGTAAAATCATTCTATGCATATTTCTATTTATCAGTTCTATGCCTTTTCGCTTTCTATCCTCCATGCCTGGAAAGCTTTGCCCCCTCACTTCTGGCTCTTTATTTCTCAGGCTTCTTTCAAGATAGCTCAAATCTCACCTGCTGCAGGAGACTCCCTCAGTAACTAGTGCTTCCCCTCTGAGGTAACTTTTATATGTATCTAGTTATTTACATGTTTCCTCCATCAGAATGTGAATGAGGGTTGGGCGGGTACTGTTTTTGCCTTTGCATGCATAGCACAATGCCTGGTACATAGTAAATTCTTAATATTTATTAAAATTGTTGAATTGTTAAATATTAAATGATTGGCTGACCTCAGAGGTCATCTAGTCCAATTTTTTCATTTTGCAGATGAGAAAACTGAGGCCAATGGGAGGTTAAAGGAGGACTTTTCCAAGGTCATGCAGATGGCAAGCATCAGATGGAGGATTTTAACTCATCCTCCAACTAAAGTTCATGTTCTTTCTGCTGTCCCACACTGCTTCCCTTCTGATGTAGAATCATCTAAAAAGTGGATTATTTAAAGGTCCATTCCTCATTTTCATACTATCACTTTATGTTGGCCAAGTATAATTTTTCCAAAAAATCTCATCGTCTTCCTCCACAAAATTGCCAGCATCATAATCAAAACAATATGTCAACTTAAAAAACATCTATGGTTTAAAAGGCATTTTTTCCCCTACTGTGAGCAAGGATAGATTTGTTATGACATGCACCAGTGGTTTCTATCCTCAGCTCTTCCAACCTTCTTTTTGTGTTCTTCACAGTTTTTCAGAGGTTATCAACAGTAGTTTGCGGTCTCACCTACTAGTTGAATTAACAGGAGTGCTATAATCTCTCAAATTGTTAGCAGTAAAAGTAGTGACAACCTTTGTGTTGCTGTATCTCTTTATGGATCATTACTCTCAGGTTCATGACAAGCTAGAAGGCTCTTTCAACCATGCTTTTCATGCATGGCTTATGTTCTCCCTTTAAAAAAAAATATTTTATTGATACTATTTCTACATTGCTTCCATTTCCCAATGACCCTACCTCTATTCCCCCACCCCTGACACAAAACCTTATTTTGTAACAAAGAAGTACAATTAAACAAAAACAAACTACCACGTTGGCCAAATCTGACAATATATGCCTCATTCTGTGCTGAGAGGAAGGAGATGTTTCATTTGACAGTCCTCTAAAGTTAAGATTTGTGACTGCAATAATCAGGGTATTGATGTTTTTCAATGTTATTTCCCTTTTTATGTTCTCTTTTTCAAATATAGCTCCAGAAAAGAGAGGAGGTTGAATGGTCATTATGGAGAGTGAGGAGGAAGTCAAATTGGCTTCCATGTCGTTTCTCCAAAAAGCAGAAGCCAATCTGGAGCTGAAAAATGATACCATGGGAAGCAGTCAAGTCTATATCATTTAAGTCAATGTATTATTTTCTGCCTGTTTTGGGAGGGTAAGAGCTTTAATTTAATGAGAACATCCAATTACTATAAAGGGAAAAAAAAAAGCCTTGAACTAGAGAATATTCTTGAGCTGTATTTTTGAATTCAATTAGGTTCACAAAGATAGATAGATAGACAGATAGATAGATAGATAGTCACTGTCTAGGTTTTAAATGGCCACTCTTTAATCACATTTTATAATAACAATATACATTTGTAAAGCATTTTTAAATTTGCAATGATATGACTAACATGGAAATGCGTTTTGCATGACTGCATGTGAATAACCTATATCAGATTGCTTGCCTTCTCAATGCGTGGGGGGAAAGGAGGGAGAAAATTTGGAACTTAAAAATTTTAAAAAACAAATGTTAAAATTGTTTTACATGTAATTAGAGAAAATAAAATATTAAATTTAAAAGAAAAATATCCATGTACATATATCTTTGCAAATTGATCATATGTATATATGCATATAAATTAGCTAGGTTGGTTCTCACAGCGACTTGTGAAGTAAATTTTCACTGTAACTGGCCTATTCACAGGGGGCAGTGACTCAGGAAGGACTTGAGGAGAGGGAACCTACATCTTGAGGTTGTATCCTATATTCCCTAAATCCCTGGGGTCTTGTGCCTGATTTTGAGGTTGAATGGATCTCTAAAGAAAAGGAGGATTGCAAGAGACCATCATGTAAGACCATGTTGGAGTGGAAGGGAATTGGGGCAGATTACTCTCTAGGGCTATTTGCTAAGAATCAAGACTGAGTAGCCTTAGCACATGGGTGGAAATTGTGTGAATTTGACAAAAACAGGCTAAAGTGAAGGGCCATAGTGAAATACATTGAAATACATGAAAGCCACATTATCTTCCTTCTTTTTCTCCCCATCATCTAAGTGGTGGTTGGGGAGCTGCTACCTTTTATCCACTCATTCATTCCTTCTTCCATTGTCCCAGTTTTTGACCACTTGAGTGATAAGTAGGGTAGAGAAGCCTAAGTCTTTTCTTAAGTTTTGAGTCATTAGCCTATGATGAAGCTTGTTGCAGGCTATTTGCTGTGTGTATAAAGAAGATAGGATAAGGAAAAAGAAGGTATTTCCTCTTTCAGAAAGGGGAGATATTTTGTTCAACAGAACTAAACTGGGGGCAGGAGCCACAGAAGCAAAGAAGAGCCTTTCATAAACTTTCAAGAAGAACCTGAGTTCCTATTTAATTCCCAGACGTATTTTCTTTTTCCTTAAGAAAGAAAAAAAAAAAGACAGTGATCCAGAAAGCATTGTTCTATGAGAAAGAAAACCACTTTAAGCTTGAGAGGCTATGAGGAGCAGACTTCCCACGACATGACACACTTTAAAACCCAGTCTCTAGGGAGCAGGGATGGGGAGGCGTGCAGCATCTTCAGGACATTATTTATTTGTGTGGTTGGAGAACTTTGT